GGCATGGCTAACCAACTTGAGGCATAGTTTAACCCTTGCTTGCGTGCCTATCCTTGTTCTACGTTCGGCTTGGGTCTAAGCCCAAGTTCCATTCCATGCTAGCTGGTGGAGTACCCATGTCCTCACGTTAGGCCACCAGTATGCTGAAATAGCGCAAGACTCCATTTGGCTCTGTTTTGCGTGCTGGTCCTGGCATTGGGATATTGATTACTTTAGGACTATTCCAAGTCGCTCTGTACCTCTATCCCTTCGCTCCTTGGGCTATATGCTTAGGAGTTGCTCCGTGGTTCGATTCTATCACTCCTTGGCTCCATGCTTGGGAGTTTGGCACTGTTCTTTTGTTCAGTGGCCCAAGGCCCTAAAACTCGAGTTCCACACCACTGTCCTTTAGACACGTGGCATTTGTCATGTGGCACAAAGAGAGTTTAGGTTCCGCTTCATGGTTATCCTATAGTAAATCACCATAGGATAAAGGGTAAAAACCACATGTGCTACAATAATAGTTTTAAAAGTGAATATATGAGCATGTCCTATATGGGATAGTAGCTAATTACCCCATCTTAAAATTAGTCTCATAAAAAATAATATACTTTGTTTTATAGCTTGAAGAGGCAATCACACTTTATGTCTTACTACTCCAAGAAATAACTATCAGCTATCAACTAAAGTTGTTTTCAATGTGGTAGGCCAAATTTATATATGGTTTGGGGATTGACAATCCTTATGAGCGCCAACTTTAGCTAGAGATCAGCTTGAGAGCCTTCAATGCCAAGGGTGGCTTTGCAAGAAGAATCAATTGCAAGGATTAAAAGGAAGTGTAGCAAGTGGCTAAAGTATGATACACTTGAAGAAAAGTGTATGAGAGAACACAACAATGAAATTCATATTAATCTGCCAATAATGGAGGGAACAAAAGAGAAAAAAAATGAGAGATGCAAATATAGTTAAATAGGAGATAATCTCAATTACTTATAGAAGATCTATAAGGAGAAAATCAAGTCTTTCATTTGCCTGAAATTTAAACTTGGCTATTTGAGACAAATGTTTATAAAGGGGGTTTCAAATGTATAATAAAGATAGTGGGTAGGTCAGGCATAGCTAAATAGATGTTGTTTAGCCTCTCATTAAACATGTTTTACATTCGGCTTGAGTTAAACTTAAGTTAAAGTACCCATATCCTTATGTTAGGCCATTAGTATGTTGAAATAATCCCAGATTCACTATTGCTATAAGCAGTAATAGATGAATCATTTCTTGCCATTTACTCTGGATATGATTACTAGAATTTGAAGCACTATATATCTTATTCTTGATAAGGACTACTCACATACCATCAATAGGTCTTCTAGACATCAAAGAAGTTGTGCTCAAGGGTGCATAGCTTTTCAAGCAATTCAAATTCCATAGCTCTTTTGAATAACCATTGGTTATACTGTTGTGTTCCATCAACATGGTCTTTTTCAAATCCAACAGCTTGCTATAGCTAGCATTGCTAAGAATTCCACTCTCTAGATACACATGATCAGCTAAAGTTATGGTAGGCTAGACTGATGTATGGCTTAGGGATTGACAATTCTTATGAATGTCAGCTCTCGCCAAAGATTAGTTTGAGAGCCTTCAATGCCGAGGATGGCTTTACAAGAAGAATCAATTACAAGGATCCAAATGAAGTGTAGCAACTAGCTGAAGTATGATATGCTTGGAGCTGGTGCACTAATTTGTGTCAACCTACCAACAATGAAAGAGGGAACAAAAGAGCAAAAAAACTAAAGATGCAAACATAGTTAAGTAGGAGATAATCTCAACAGAAGATCTACAAGGAGATCTAAAATCAAGTCCCTTGTTTGCCTAAAATCTAAAACTGACTCTTTGAGACAAATGAATGCAAAACTGCAAAGTGTTTGCAGCATGGGAATCAACATCAACCCAATTACATTGTAGTAGATGCAGTCTACACATTGCTCACTCATTAATCATAAGCTGTGGATCATTGGCAGGAAAGCTTTATCCATAGAACTGGACAATAACAAGATGTGTAACCTGGGCATTTGCAAGGTTGTGTAGTAAAGTGCTACTCAAAAGCAAGGATAGGTAAGCTGAATTCAAGCCCAAGCAAGAGATTGAAATCATTGCAAGAGGCACTGCCCACTATTGGAAATTGACCAGGGATTGAACAATGCTCTACCATTGAGCTACCTTGGTTATGGTGATATCTTGACTGTTGTGTTTGACCATCAAATGAATTTTTATCCATGAGATTTTGGTCAATGTACAACCAAAAAACGATGCATCTCTTGACGTCCTAGCTGGCACTGGTGGCTGTCCATATGTTGTATGGCTTGCCACCGTAACACTCCCACTCGGGCAGATGCCAAGTGCAGCCCAAAACTGAGAAAATTTCAGTTGGGAGAGTGCCTTGGTCAGAACGTCAGCAGGCATGTCCTGAGTAGGACAATACACAAGCTCAACAATTCCATCTTGCGAAAAAAATGGTGTATTGTGTCCATGTGCTTCATTCTTGAATTGATCTTGCGATTCTTGCTTAAGGCACTGCAGCCTTGATTGTCGCAATAGATCGCTGTTGAACCTGGAAGAGAGTGTTCCCAGTCTGTTAGAAGACGTCAAAGCCTGCAAGTAGCACTAGTGGCCATATACTCAGCTTTGCAACTAGAGCAGGTCACAACACTCTGTTTCTTGTTGCTCCAAGAAAGAGCTGCTTGTTGCAAGCTAAAAAAATAGCCTGTCTGTGAATCACAGTAGCCTTGTGACTTTTGGCATGTAAAGTAGACCAAACGAAGTGGTAGCTTGTAAGTACCTAAAAATTCTTTTTACTGCTTGCCAATGTGTAAGGCCTGGATTGTCGAGAAACCTGCTTACCATGTTCACTGAGAAGGCAATGTCTGGTCGTGTGCACACTACCAGGTACATCAAGCTTCCCACAGCACGTCAGTAAGGAACGTTTGCCATTTTCCTACTATCCAAATCTGTAGAAGGAGACGTATCCTTGGAAAGTCTTGAAGTCTTAAGCCAGCAACCATTGGCATGGGTGCAGGCGCACAAGAGTCCATGGCAAATCATTGCAGGACATCTTCTTTGATGCAGAAAGAGGGAGCCATCTTGTTTGTGATCAATCTGGATGCCAAGGCAGTAACAAGCTTCACCAAGGTCCTTCAAGAGAATGTCTCCTGGGACCTTGTAGCCTCATCAAGCTCTCCATTCAGGAAAGCCATCTAACATCCATCTGGTGTGCACAGCTGCTAAAGCGAGCAAGGTGCGAATGGTAGTCAGCTTGACCACCGGGGCAAACGTCTCAATGTAATCCACACCAGCCACTTGAGAGTAGCCTTTTGCCACCAAGCGAGCCTTGTGGCGAGAAATGGTGTGGTCTGGGCTGAGCTTGATACTAGGAATCCACATGGATTTCACTAGTTTACGCCCGGCAGGAGCTCTTTCCACCAAAGAGAAAGTGTTGTTCTTGAGAAAGGAGTTATACTCCTCAACAAAGGCTGCAACCCATTTGTCTCTGTTAGGAGAGGCAAGAGCATCGACGTAGGTGTGAGGAATTCCGGAATGTCCACTCGAGCAAGCAATGTCTCAACCAAGCCTTCAGGAATGTCTTGAACGACCGAGAGCATTGTCTCGATCAGCCGCTGCAAAGGGACACCTAAATTTGACTGGGAAGACCTGCGGGGAGGTTGATCCGGAGGTACTGCAGGTTGCTCCTGAGGGCCTCAAGGAGAATCCGGTGGGCGCTGGGCAGCTGCGGCTGGTTCTCCATCGAAATATATGTCATCCCTGAGTGGCGGTTGAGGTCGAACAGGGGAGCCGTGAGATAGGGCGGCGAATTTGGCAAAACCGGAACGCGCAGATCTCCCACCTGGAAATCTGCTCTGCAAGCTCCCACTTGCTGCAGTAAGATAGGAGAGACTACCACCAAAGGTTGAAGAAGAGTCTTCAGTTCGAAGAATCGGGGCAAGAGGGAAGAGATCTCCCACTAGATGAGAACGAGTGGCATTCTCAACGTCACGGGAGATCATCAGCTTCCTTGAGACTAGGTTGAAAATCCTGTAAGCCTTATGCTCTGTCATCCAGGATCATAAATCTGCTCCAATACCATGTTGTGTTTGACCATTGAATGAATTTCTATCCATGAGATTTTGGTCAAACCAAAAACGCTGGCGTCCTAGCTGGCACTTGTGTCTGTCCGTACTTCATACGGCTTGCCAGTGTAACATTGACCACATAGATGAGACATCCACCATTTCCACCATTGTTTTGCACTGGAGGCACTCAAGAAGAAGCAAACTCAAACTCTCAATCCACCACCAACACTAGCAGCAACAGCCTCAAGCCATGTGCGAGCGCCAGACTTGGTACAAGGTGGCCTCTTCTATCAGTTGATTTTCCGGCAAGGTTGAGTACTCCATCGACCACACGAAGCCACTGGCCTCAAAAAAGGTGACGCTCGATTAAGGGCTTTGGATCCCACTCCTGCTGAACATTCTAAACATTCTCCCATCCATCCTTTGGTTTTGAAAAGCCAAACACTATCTTTTCTGTTCATGTGCGAGTTGCCAAACTTTAATCCGCTTGCTGTGAATCTACATACCTTAACTAGTACCTTTGAGTTCTCGGCTGAAACTAAAGATAGTTTATGCTTTAGGTGTCCTAAAGTTAGTTGGTCATGGAGAGGCTATTAGCGTAGATTGAAAAGGCGAGGGAAGAGCTCGAGAGGAAGCTAAATGACATGCAAAGGAAACTTGAGGTACATAGATTGAGAATAACATCTTTAGTTAGCAAATTAAGGCACTTATAAAGACCTCTCTGACAACGGCTGCAAACCCTCCTCCTGTGAATCCTCCTCCTATGAAGCCTCCTCCTGGCGCTTTGAAGCTGCTACAGTTTGTGGGCACCTGTAGCAATAAAGGGGTCGCTCTTTTCATCGGAACTCCACCTGCGACTCTAGTGTTAAGCCCACAGCCAACGTCGTGGGTTACAAGGAGACCATGGTGTGGAAGGAAGGTGAAGAAGTTACTGTGACGATCAATGGGCAGACTGTGAAAGGTGAGGTTGTTTCCCTGTTTCCCAGGAAGCCTTGGGTGGCTGCTGTTGAGCTCTTCGAACCGGTAAGCTACTGCTTCAATATCCCGATGCATCCTGAGTGGGTGTTTTTCTGATTCAGTTGGAACTACCTCCTAAGGTGCCTCTTAAGATTGGTCTGCCTCGAAATGAAGAGGTGGTTTTTGTGCGGCGGGCTGGGGAAGTTGAACTCCCTGCAATCATCAAGGAGCACTACTTACCATATGAAGTGGCTGGTGTCCAAATGGGTGATATTATCGTTGAATGGGATTCAGATTCAAGGAGCATGAGGCTGAGTGGGATTGTTGTCAAGACGGAGGAAGATGGTGCTGTGGTGGGGCTGCCCGTCGATGACGCCACGCTATACTGTCTTGAGGCGGACAAGAAGAGCTGGTACCGAACAAAATACCCAGGTGATCATTGCAAATACCTTTGCTGAGTTTGTTAGACTCCCGTTATCGGCATAAGCTGCGAGCAGTGAGTTCCAGGATCCCAGATTACGGTAGGCTATTGCGTCGAACGTCTGCATGGCTGCCTCAAGGTGGCAGCTTTTGGAGTAAACGGTCAAGACTGCATTGCAGGAAACCGCAAAGAACACCTGCATGGCTGCCTCGAGATGGAACTCGTAGACCGAGATCAAGGCCGACCAGGCCACCCTGTTCCATTCAGGCATCCTGTCAAACAGGCACTTAGCATCTTCCGGATGCCCACGCTGGGCATACGCGTTAGTTACCATAGCGCTCCAGCACACGATGTCTTCGCGGGAGAGGAATCGAATACTTTTTGCGCTCCTTGCAAGTCCCCAACCTCGCCAAAGGCTTTATCATTGCCGTGAAAGAAACCACGTCCATCTCTGGGATAGATTAAAAGCATGTTTGAGCCTCAGCACAATGCCCCACTACAGCATACGTTGAAACATCTCTGTAAGGCATTTAGAAAAAAAAATTGCGAGCCTCTTCCAGTTTTCCGAACAATGTGTACGCTTGTAAAAGTGTATTGCAGACGCTACGTACGGGCATCATATTAAACAAGGCCGTTGAAAATTAAAAATGCCCTTCTTGGCCATTTGCGAAAAGGGGAGTAGTCCACGAAACGACGTCCCTCTCCGGCATCTTTTGAAACACCACCATAGCTTCACGAAGGTTACCGAGCCGGAAATTCCCACGCAGGATTGTACAATGTCTTTGTAAGGCATCCTGTCAAACCCTCTTGCTTCCCGCAAGCTCCCAAAAGGTGGATGCTTGATGGCCTCAAAAGCCTCGCGTGCAAGCTCCAAGTTTCCGTTTCCCATACCTGTGAATCAGCAAGTTGGAGCGATATCTCACCCTCGAACAGTCGAGGTCGGGGCAGGAGCAGCAGGGCGATCCAGTTCTTAGAGGCAGAGCAACCATCATCTCATCGCAAACTCTCAGCCAACCTTCTTCTCCTCTTTGAGATGTTTATACTTTTCCTGGGCACTCCATTTTTCATCGCATACATGTTCGCAAGGAGGACATAGGCGGCTGAATCTTCGTTTTGGCCACCCAAGAGAGCCTTAGCTGCGTGGGCACCATGTTCCAAATTGCTGTAGCTCGTCGATGCACCCAGCAAACATCGCCAGTCCATCACCTCCGCCTCGAATGGCATGCTCGCAATAAGCTCCTCCGCCTCTCTCAGATGCCCGGCCCTGCTCAAGAGATCGATCATACATCGGTACTGGAGCTTGTTTGCAACGATCCCATAATCGACCACCATCTCCGCGAAGCAACGCAAGCCATCCCAAACCTTTCCAGTGCGTCCACACACGAGAAGAACCAAGGTGAAGCAACGATCGTCCGGTCTCTCCTCTTCAACCTTGATCGCACCATAAAGATCCAGCGCGTTTTGAAAATGCCCGTTATGCGCATAAGCCGAAATCATGGCGTTCCAGGCAATCGGATCTTTATCTGGCATTTGATCAAATATTTTCTTGGACGCCGTGACACGACCACTTTGCCCGTAACTTGTTAGCATGGTGGTTACTGCAACCAAGCCCTGCACAGGCATTGTATCAAACAAAAACTTCGTCTGTTCAAGATGCCCGCTTTGGGAATTTGCTGAGAGGATTGAGTTCCAGGAAATAACATCACGTTCCGGCATCCAGTCAAAGATATGCCAAGCCTCATCAAGATGCCCGTTACGGGCATAGGTGCTCAGCATCGCATTCCAGCTCACATTGTTCCTCTGCGGCATCTCCTCAAAGATCACCCGCGACTCGAGGATGTGGCCGCTCTCGCCGAGCGCGGTGAGCATCGCGTTCTCGGACACGAGATTGAGCTCCGGCATCCGGTGAAAGATCCGCCTCGCCTCGTCCACCGAGCCCTCCTCGGCGTGCATCGCCAGCATGATGTTGCACGAGACGAGGTTCGACTCGGGCAGATCAAGGAAGAGCCTCTTGGCGGCGTGGGCGTGGCCGTTCTGGGCGTAGGCGCCCAGCATCGCGTTCCAGCAGGTGAGATCGCGCTCGGGCATGCGATCAAACACCGTCCTCGCGTGATGGATCATGCCGCGATGGGCATACTCGCAGAGCACGGCCGTGGAGGAGATGAGATCCCATTCGGGCATGGCGGAGAAGAGCGCCACGGCCTCGTCCCAGTGGCCATTGTGAGCGTAGGCCCCGAGCATCGCGTTCCAGGAGACGTGATCGCGCTGCGGCATGGAATCAAACAAGCGCTTGGATTCCTCGAGCTCCCCGTTCTTGGAGGCCGACGAGAGCATCACGTTCCACGCAATCCTGTCCCTCGCCGGCATCGAGTGGAAGATCACTAGTGCTTGCTCAAGATGCCCAGCACGGGCAAACATGGCGAGCATTGCGGTCCAGGAGACAAGATCGCGCTGGGGCATCGCGTCGAACAAAGACTTGGAGTCTCGTAGCTCTCCGTGGTGCGCGCTCGCAGTCAAGACTGCGTTCCAGGAGACGAGGTTGCGATCAGGCATGGCGTAGAAGATCTCTTTGGCATTCGCAAGATGCCCGTTAGCGGCAAGTGCTGTAACCATTGTGTTCCACACGAAGAGATCGTGCTCCGGCATGCGATCAAAACACTTTCGTGCTTCGGAAAACTGCCCAGATTGGCAATACGCAGCTAGCATGGCAGTCCACGAAACAATGTTCCTCTGCGGCATAGCATCAAAGATCGTTTTCGCTTCTGCAAAGTGCCCATGCTTGGCATATGCTGAAAAGATGGCGGTCCACGAGACATACGTCCACTCCGGCATTCTATCGAACACCGTCTTGGCCTCGCGAAGCCGAGCATTCTTCGTAAACACGCCCAGCATCGCGTTCCACGACACTGGGCATCGATCCGGCATCGCATCGAACAGCTGCTTGGCCTCTTCCACTTGCCCGGTCTTGGAGTATGCTGAGAGGATGATCACCCACGAGAAGGAGTTCCTGTCCTCGCCCATGCGCTCGAACACTTCCCGCGCCCTCCTGGTGCTGCCGAGCCGCCCATACATCTCGATCAGCTTGTTGGCCACGAAGGCATCCGCGGCGAGGAATTTGTTGCCGAGGATCTGGGCGTGGAGCTCCTCGCCCTCGCCCAGGCTCTTGCAGGATTCCATGCGCTCCAGGCATTTGGATTGATGCATTCTATCATAGTAGAGATTAAGATCTTGTAGAGCAGCGGGTGAGAGAAGAAATTTTCACCTCAGCTCAGCTCAGCTCAAACAAAAAAAACAGGGGATATAAGCTCTATCTCTCGATCAATCAAACGAGAGCTTTGGGATCGATCAGTAGTACTGCGAGGCGGTGTTGCCAGTGTAAGTTCTCCCGAATTGCCAGTCCCCGGGCGCGACATTGTAGGCGGTGACGGTCCTGCCATCGCTGGTGGTGACGCGGAAGGAGAGCGCCTGGCCATTGAGATTGCTTCCCTCCTCCCAGTTCTGGCCCCAGTTCCGGCTCATGGATCGCCAGCCGCTGCTAGATCCCTTGATCGACACGCCCACGACGTCGCCCATGCCGCCCACGTTCGTGACGAGCACCAGATTGAAGTAAGTGTGGCCATTGATCGTGAAGCGAATCCCTCCCTGCCGCTGGCACTTGACCCTGGATCGATGGAGCATTGGATCAGAATCCATCCGATCAAACCAAGATCGCTCCTCCAAGCGATCGAGGAAGAAAGTTGGTTTACCTTCGGTACTGGATCTGGGCGTGGCCGTTGGGGATCCTGGCGATGCGAGAAAATGCCGGCTGCGAGAGATCAAAGTGGGGCTTGGGCGGATCACACCAGCCGCCATTGCTCCCCGGCGGGCAGAGATTGGTGGCGGTGACGACGACGGAGGGATTTCCCGGGAGGCACGCTGGATCGCCCCAGCACCGGACTTGGTAGCACGCTCCACACACATTGCCCCCGCGGAAGAGAGGGGTGCTTAGAGCAGTGGTGATGGTTCCATAGCCGGCGCTCAGCTGGTTTCCATAGCCGCATGCTCCATCTGCAAAACCAGATTTTGTCGAGAGGGAGTATATAAGCTCGTGAATAAGATCAAGATCAAGGAGTGGAGAGAATTGGATCGTACTGTTTGTCCCAGATGCGTCGCTCCCACCGTAGTAAGTCGCGTGGGCTCCCCATTGCCATGATCCTTGGCTCCCGCCTCTGCCATATTTGTGGTGGCCACCCGGCTTCTTGGCATCGGCATTTGCAAGGAGTGCTGTAGAAACCAGGAAGAAGATCGAGAGAGCAGTGAGCAGCGGCTTGGAGTCCATGATCCTGTGCCTGCATCCACGAAGCACAGGTCTTATAAACAACGTGATCTCGTGTAGAATCGAAGCAGCTGGTCAAGATTGTACAAGATTTATGAGCTGCAAGCCCACAATATTCTCGGAGAAAGCTCCACTAGTGGAGTCACGGGAGGAGAAGAAAAAAGAGAAGAAGTCTCACCGCAAAACTGACTCCCTCGCAATCTTCCTGTGCTCGTCTGGTCGTCACACTACGAGCTTGAGACTTTTTTATAACCCATGATCCACTGGAGACAACCCCACTAGTAGCAAAAACAAAAATTATGATCGCAACTTCTCGACGTGCCAGAGACCTTTAGCAATTCACGTCTCTTGGTAGATACTCTAGAAACATTGAGATGAAAAAGAAAGAGTTTTGGGTTTGAATGCAGGTGTTACGCACACTTCGCTTTGAATCTTTTCTTGAATTACGCTTTCTCCCGGAAAGCTGGTGCGTTCATCATTCCAGTGTTGCAGCTCAGTTCACACACTCACTGATCTCGTGAGAAGCAAGCAAAAAGTCTAGTGCTTTGTTTCGCTAGTTGCCGGGTCACTGTTCCTTCGGTGTTCGTATTGTGGCCAGCAAAAGGAGCGTTTGCTACTTGTAGTATACTTGGGCCTCAAGATATGGGGAACAATGGGGATAGATTTTGGAATCTCTGATCCAGTGCTTGGATCCCAAGTCAAGACGGTTGGTAGTTGCTGGATTGATTTATTCCGCCGCTTATAAGTTTTTGATCATGATTCGTGTCTGCCGGCGGACCCCCCTTTTGACAAACACATCGTGAAACATGGCCCCCATGTTGAGCAATTTCAAATCCTTCTTTACCTTTTTCTGGTCTTTGTACCTTTGTGGATAATCAATGGTAGAATTCTCGAATACGATTTGATCACAATGCTATCTGGGTCGAAAAAGATGGGCTGCAGACCTAGTGGCCACGCACCAACAGTGATCCTCTCAAGCATCTTATTTGGGGGATGGAGTAAAGAGATTCTTCTTCTGGAGTAAGGTTTAATGGATTTATAGTTTGCTTAAGTAAAGGATATAATGATTGTTATTCATTTAGATTAAACATATATTTATAATTTATAAAAAAATTCATAATTTATAAACTTTTCTAAACACTTTCTAGTATATTTTAATTTATACTACCATCTTACATTAAACATGTTTACAATTATTGATCAGTTGGATTAATAATTAAAACTAACCAGGAATAACACAATTATTAAGAAAACTAAGTGTTGTTGCATGAAAATTATCTATATTTTGAGTTTTTTTGTTTTATATGTTTTCTTCTTTTTTAATAGTTCAAATTTCATTATAATTTAATTCAATGGATAAGATTTATTTTACTAACCATAGCATTGATTTCCTAATCTGCTGATTATGTAAACTGTTAAACTATTTACTAACCAGAAAAGAAGTGTAATAATGCTTATTTATAACTGATATTGCTTATATGCCTAAGCTTTTCTAAGAGCTATGGATCATTTTTTTGGATGGGCTCTTTCACTTTTATCCTAGTAAGGTGGTAACAATTTTTGTGAAAGAGATTTCTTATAAGTTGTTCACTATTTTATTAATTGAGTCATGGTTTACTCTTTAGTCTTTCAATTGAAAACTGTTTTTATGTGTCTTGGATGCATAAAATAACAAGACAATGAATATAATGAAACCATTTTCATGTGGATATAATTTTACTTCTCAAAAATAGTATATATCTAAAAATATTTTAAAATTATCATCCTAGATATATATATATATATATATATATATATATATATATATATATATATATATATATATATTACTTTTTGTATTCTTTTATTTTATTTCCTATTAAAAATTCTGAAGTTAGGCTTCTTGACACATTGGCTAGCTAGAAGTGCAATTAAGAATTCTTGTAGCTACAATGTGTACTTAAAATTCAACCTTGAAAATTAAGTCCAACTGTATGAATTAAAAAATATTTTGTAATAGACATAATTAGTTTTAAATAAAAAATTCCGGACTGAAAAATAAACTAACAAATTAATAGGAGATAGAACACAAGAGATCAGCTGAACCCAATAGACACCCACTCCTTACAAACAAAGCCACTAGTTCTCCCTACATCATATGACACTGCAACATAAGGAATGCAAGTAAAGATCTAGGCACCCCAAGAAGCTAAAATGGGTAAGGATTGAGGATGCCAAAGACATAGAATGACACCACTAAAATTACCCAGATTGCAATTCATCGGTCTCATACTTTAAGATGGGACCATATCCATCGCTCTCATGCTTCAAGATGGGCATCCAGAAACTATCAAAACAAATATATAGATAGATAGATATATAATTGTATGAAGATATCGAATATATTAAGAATTAAAGTATGTTTTTATATGAGTAGACTATTTATTAGGCCTCCTCTCATCCTATATTGCAAAGGGTGTTTTTTGTTCTTCCATTGGATGCACAACGAGAGAGGATCAATAGTGGCGAGGATTGGAGACTGCTGAACAAGGTGTCAAAGACCGTGAAAGATTGGCTGAATACACAAAAGACATTAGCAAGCTCACTGTGACAACTAATGTAATCCTAAAACCACACGAAATAAAGCGGAGCCCACAGTTATCCGTTAAAGAGGAAAATTCGCTTATTCCTCGGAAAACGGCGCTTGACCTGTCGTACGGCGGGTGACCGGTAACGTCGCCGTCAGCGCCGCGCTGGATATTCTTAAGCATATGCCGTTACTGGCCGTCCCGATCCGCCCAGAATATGCCCCTTTTCTTTGATGTCGTTACAGACGGGAATGTGTACCGGCGTCTGGCATAATTTTATAGGCACGTGAATTTGCCGTCACAGTGCCATCACAGGCGTTTACCGAGGCAGGCTACTATGGGGAGGGGAGGCTACCCAAATAGTCACCCCACTCCACGACCTTTATCTTCGAATAGGTCTCTCGTAGCTATAGCGTGGTGGTGATTGGAGAGGATAATTACTGTACTCAATGCACCTTTAAAGCCGCGCGCGGGCGTTGCGTTTCGCTCTCTTCCACCCCTCGTTTTCGAGGAGGGTGTGGCGGATCGAGCACAGCGTCGATTATTTCAGCTATGAAACCTAAACTAGCAAAGCGAGGAAAACTTTTCGAGGATGCACCACCGTCCTTGCAAATCTTCCGGCAAAACCAAAAATCCGCTAAGAATCCCTAAAGCCTAAGCAAAACCAGCCTATTGTATCTCGTATACGCAAGAAAGATAAGAATGGAGCTGTGTGACAAAACGATCAATCATTCTTCCGTACACCTAGGAGCGCAGTCACCTATCCATTGGCATTTACTGCGCGCAAATGGAGGGTATTTGTCCTGCGGCTTCCGTGCAGCGCCATCTCCGCCGTCCTGGCCCGCTCGCGCATCCGACGGCGGGGGACAACCGAGACGTTTCTTTTGCCGGTTGCAGAAATTCCATTCTTGAATCCCATCGCCATCCCTGCGCAAGAAGCCCAGTCGGGGCATTTGTCATTCATCGCGCGGTGTATGTCACGGGCTGGTTTGTTTGATTGATTGATCCATCACCTTGTTTTTTTTATATATATATATATATCTTTCGTTTTTAAACTTCGCTACGGCGCTTCTAAAGATCTCTCATTCAAGCAATGGAGATCGACACGCAGAGATTGCGAGCGAGCGAGCGAGATAACTTATGTTGCATTCAAAGGTTTTCCCGGGCCAGGCTCTAAAACCAGAAGGAAAATCACTTTTATGATCCGCAAGGGCTTCTTTTGTGTGGGTCGAGTGCTGCGAGCGATCCATTTTGAGTGTTTAATTCGGGTTCTCTGGTAACAGGGCGGCCCAGAGAGCGCGAGAGAACAAGCAAAATGCGTAATTGTGGGCTCTGTGGCCCCTGTTTTCTTGATGCCGCTCGCTGGCATTTGCTGCCCCGAAAGGGCAAGGCTTGAATGCCGCTACAGCGACGGATTTGCATCGAAACCCCGGAAGAAAAACAAGAACCATTCAAAACCAAAAGTAAAAAAGAAAAGGAAGAAATTTTTTACCACCTCCTCGAGAACATATCCTCGAGAAAATGCTCCAATGTGGTAAGAACCAAACGTTTGGATTGGTATCGGAATGGCCATGGTCGCTATTACGGGGGCCCAGAAAACCATACCCTGATAGTACATGGTTTTGTGTGTAATCTAACGCGATGAAAATGGAAAGCTCGGATCAGGGTCATTGTCCAAGTCAAAATCGAAAACGGTGGCGCGAACCTCTGGGAATATTCGCGCTCCTTTATCACAGCGATATAACCTAACGGTCTCCAGTCCCGTTTCACAACGAGGCAGTAAAAACACCACACCACTGCGCCGAGTTTGCGATCGAGAGAGAGAACGATCTGCCGAGCTCGGGCGAGCGCATTCGAAAACCCTCTTCCAGTGAATCGCTCGCTCATCGGATTTGAGGGGATTGAGTTTTCGGTTGGATTTTTTTTTGCTTTCTTCCCTCCTTTTGGGGACCAGTGTGTTCAGAGCGAGGAAGACGAAGGAAGGGACAGAGCAAAGCTGCGAGGAGGTGTTAAAAAAGCCTGGCCTGTGCTCTGCTGGGCAATGGTCCTGGCCGGCATGCGTGTGGCTTTCAAACCCAGCACATCAAACAGGTGATGAATGATCGATCGAAAGAGCTTTTGTCTTCCTCTTTCTTACTCTCTTTCTTTCCCCCTTTTTTGATTCACCGATCCGTCTGACCGGACGATTTCTCTGCAACCAGGGGAATTCCTCGCAGGGATAAGCTTTTAGCGAGCTCTTGATCGTCCGTTTTGGGTTGCCAGCAGTGTGTAATCCTCTCTTTCTCTCTCTCGCGCGATGGTATCCTCCCACCCTTCTTCGCATTTCTACTTCGAGCACGAAAGATCCGCGCTGCCCATCAGCAGGGCTCGCGTCGTTTGCCCTTTTTGAGCGTAAAAAAGCGATTTTTCTAATAACGCTCCCCTACCACTCTCGCGTGTTGGATCGCGCTGTTCCCCTATTGCGGGACATTCCCTTCCTCTTTTACTTGGGTGCTGTTGTTGCGTAGTACCGTCCAAGCGAATCGCGAGAGAGAAAAAAGAAAGTAAAATGGGTTCCATCGTCTTACTCGAAAGATCACTCCTGTTCTATCTAGTCCTCGCTCTGTCAGTCTCCTCGATTCGCAGCGATGGGGGATCATCACTGGACTACGCAGCAGTGAACGAAGATCCGGCTATGGACGCCGAGGAGGCCAAGGCGGTCTTCGACGTCCTGGGCGCGATCAATAGCGAGATCGATTGGAGGGCGCTCTTCCCGGGCGACAATCCCTGCACTGGCGGCCCACACGGCGTGAATTGCGACCTCTCCGACGATGGCAAGCTTCGCGTCGTGGAGCTCAATCTTGGTTGGGTGTCGGACAGCGTCAACAATCCCCCATGCGCCGCTAATGCCACCATCCACAGATCCATCCTCAAATTCTCGCGTCTCCGCAAGCTCTTCTTCTATCAGTGCTTCTTCGGCAAGCCCATGGGCATCCCGCCCGAGGTCTCGCAGCTCAAGTCACTCGTCCATCTCACTTTCCAGGACAACAGCGCGCTAACCGAAGAGATCCCGCCTCAGCTGGGCAACCTCACATCCCTGGAGCGCCTCGTCCTCACGGAGAATCGTCTCGTTGGATCAATCCCAGCGGAGATGGGGCGCCTTGTCAATCTCAAGCAGCTCGTTCTCAGCCACAATCTTCTCTCTGGTAGCATTCCCATCAGCCTAGGCGGGCTCTCGAAGCTCATGATCCTGGATCTTAGCTCCAACGATCTCTCCGGCCCCTTCCCGCCCGAGGTGGGTTCTCTTTCCAGCTTGGAGAAGATGGATTTGAGCTCCAATCGCATCCAGGGTGGTCTTGTTCTACCCAGCTCCACCAGTCCTCTGCGATTCCTCGACTTGAGCTACAACAATCTCAGCGGTGGCATCCCCGGATCGATGGCGGCGCTAGCCGGACTGGAAAATCTCTTCATGCGCGGGAATCCTCTGTTAGGTGGCGGTGTTCCAGGCTTCCTGGGCAATCTCAGGGGGCTGGAGATGGTGGCGCTATCGGGCTCCGGGCTCTCGGGTCCTATTCCGGACAGCATTGGCTCGCTGCCGCGATTGAATTCACTAGCGCTGGATGGGAATTTCCTGAGCGGCGGCGTCCCGGCGTCCCTGGCCGGATTGAGCGCGCTCTATCATCTCAATCTCAGCTCCAACCGGCTCTCCGGGAAGCTCCCCTTCTCGCGCCAGTTCTTTAGCCGGCTGGGGAGGAACTTGGTCGTCAAGAACAACTCGGGGCTCTGCCATGTATTGATCGACGACGAGAGAAACGATGCCTTGGGCGATCTCAATTCGTTTGGCATCGCCAAGTGCGAGGACGATGGCTCTTCGTTGTCGTCGTCGCCGTCGGTGTTGGGATGGGACGCTGCTTCTTCCCGGCAAGAAAGTTCTTCCTCTCTTCCCGGAAATCATTGGAGGTTTCGTGCATTGGTTTTGGCAATGGTCGTTGTGTTGCTAGAACTAATATAAAATGAGAGATCTCTTCGTATTTTAAGATTTTTACGGCCGTATAAACAGCCGTATGTTCTTTTAAGTAGACTCTTACTTTCCTTGTAACAGAAGTTTTTGTGAATCTATCAGAATCGAACCAAATCGATCGATCTTAGCTTATCTTTTTGAGCTCTCAATCCAAACGGGCATAGTTTCCTTGTAACAGAAATATGTGAATCTATCAGAATTGAAGAACCAAACCGATCGATCAATAAACGAGATCAAAGTGAGATTTTACTGAAATATAGCCTCGAATACATTTGACTTGGAAGAAAGGAAAAACGGGAGGAATGCCGCCACACCTTTTGCTAAGATTTGTGCCAAGAGTGGAGTAACTCTTACTTGGCACTCACCGGGCGCGGGCGCTTCCCTCCTCCTACTTGGATCTCTGTCTCATCTTTCGGCGCTTGCGCTTGAGCCGCCTCATGCGTTTCTTCTTCCACTGGAAATGCACACAAGCGATTCAGAGAAGAATCTAGAGCAAAGAAGAATCTCTAGCGCGACATACCTTTGCCCTCATCCTTGTTCGCTCGCTTCTCGCTCCCTACGCCGCAAAAACGCAAATGGACCCTTGCCCTAGCCCTAGCCCTAAGGGTTTGACGCTATATATATGCTATGGATGAGAAGATCGCTGCCGTTGGCTGCGATCCGACGGCTGTGACTGGCCCCACTCAAAAGAATCGATCGAGCGAGGAGAGGATTCGTCCTTCGCGCTCTCGCCATCGCCCGGGGCAGCGCGAGGTCTCGGCGACGAATCAGGGCTTTTGAGGTATGGCAATGCGCGATTCTAGAATGGGCGCCGTCGGCGCGATTGTCTTCGCCAAGAATCATGGCCCGGGCAGCTCTAGGAGTGGGATTTTGGCCCCGATTTCCAGCCGGAGGGGATCATTGGCTCAGCTGAGGGTCTTGTCGGTGACCAAGGGCGGGAATGAGAATGCCGTGGATGATGATCGTAGCAATGGGAGTAGGAAAAGAGAGCAAGTTGCCGATAAGTTTGATGTCGTGAGGAACCCGAGCGATAGCAAGTTCGACATTGATTATCTGGGCGAGAGCACGATGGGAGACATGACCGTCAAGCGTGAAGATCTTGGTATCGTTCTCCCGTTGTTTATATTCTCTAGTATTTGTTAACAATGTAGTTTTTCTATTCTATCAGGAAGCGTAGATCTGGCTCCCGGATCAATTGAAGAACTCGCAAGAGAAGAAGCACGCGAGGCAGAGTGCCTTCTGGAAGAACTAAATGTTCCAGTATGTTTTTGATGATTTTTATTCTTTTTCCTTCTTGTTTCTCCTGATAGATTTACTTCTTTTACAGACTCTTTCTTCTTTTTTATTGACAGGCACAGTATCCTCATGGAATAGCGTCACGAGGAATTTTCTGTAGCAGGACATTAAATCTTCGCTCCATCGCAGCAATTGGCTACGACATGGACTACACTTTGATTCAGTATAATGTCAATGTAAGTTCTTTCTCTCCTGTGATTTTTATTTCTCTCGAAACTCTCTTTCTTGCAGGCTTGGGAAGGGAGAGCATACAAGTATGGTATGGACAATTTGAGAAGCATGGGGTACCCAGTAGATGGGCTGAAGTTTGACCCGGAGCTGGTATTCTGTGTAGCTGTCGTGAGTTTTTCACATTCTTTTAAACTGGCCAGGTTATACGAGGCCTTATCATGGACAAGGAAAAGGGAAATCTCGTGAAGGCCGACCGATTTGGCTACGTAAAGAGAGCAATGCATGGGACTAGAATGGTTTCCAATCGCACGATAAGGTAATTGATTCTCGTTTCCGTCAAGAGTGATTTGAGGAGTTCTTTTATTCCTCGGTGCAGTGAAATCTATGGCCGTGAGCTTGTAGACTTACGTAACGAGAACAGATGGGAGTTTCTAAACACACTGTTCTCGGTTTCGGAGGCTGTAATGTACATGCAGGTTCGCGGGAATCGTTGTTTGTTTGTTTCTTGTTACAAGAGTGTGATTGATCGTGCAGATGGTTGACAGATTGGATGAGGGTGCTATACCACCACAGCTTGGACCCTTGGATTACAACAGCCTCTACAAAGTTGTGGCGAAAGCCCTTTTCAGAGCTCACGTAGAAGGAAGATTGAAGGTGCTGTGAGTAGTTGACTCGGGATTATTTTTCTCACACATTTCAAGCACGCAGGCTGAAATAGTTAACGAGCCAGAGCGTTTTGTAGAGCCTGATGCTGAGCTTCCCTTGACACTCTTGGATCAAAGAGAGGTGAAACATATTTACGTGATAAGCTCTTTCGCTTTTTCTTACATTTTACTTATTCTCGTGCCATTTCAGGCAGGAAAAAAGCTTCTTCTAATCACAAACTCGGACTATCAATACACTAACAAAATGATGCAGTACGCTTACAATCAGTTTCTTCCTAATAACATGGACTGGAGGGATCTATTTGACATGGTAACATACAATGTACCTTTTTTATTCTGATTTCTGTCCTTGGGAGCTTACAGGTGATTGTGTCAGCGAGAAAGCCAGAGTTTTTCCAAATGTCACATCCCTTGTACGAGATCGTTACCAAGGATGGCTTGATGCGTCCATGTTTCAAAGCAAACCCAGGTACTACTCTGGTTCAGTGCTATGTATGAACTTCCGGCTTGCCTTATAGGTGGTTTGTATTGTGGTGGTAGCGCGCAAATGGTGGAGCAAGCTCTCGGTGTCCACGGCGACGAGACGCTCTACGTTGGAGACCATATCTACACTGACGTTAGTCAATCCAAGGTTCACCTTCGGTGGAGGACTGCTCTCATTTGTTCCGAGCTCGAAAAGGAGGTGAAAATGCGTTTTCTCAATCTCTTACCTGTACTTTTTTTGGACCCAGGTGAATGCCTTGGCATACGGTAAAGACCATAGAGCGAAGCTCATCGAGCTCATGAACCAAAAAGAAGTTGTAGGCGATGTTTTCAATCAGCTCCGCCTTGCGCTTCAGCGCCGTAATAGCGGACGTGAAGCACAGGTCTGTGCAGATGTTTGAGCTGGAAACTTTCAAACCGAGATTTTGTTTCTCTGTAGACGAATGCCGCGACGACGATGGACACTGACGAACTGGCTGATAGTATGCAAAACTTGCTCGTCCTAATGACTCGCATCGATCAGAAGATTGCGCCAATGCTCGAGGCGGATGGAGAGTACTTCAACAAAAGGTTTGCCTACTTTTCATCCGTCTTCTTTTCTCTGCTAATGACCGCTCGTTTTAGATGGGGTTACCTCTCCAGAGCTGGATTGTGGGACAAAAGCCATCTTATGAGACAAATCGAGAAGTAAGCTCATTTCGTCTCTCTTTCTCTAGTTCTTATGTTTCTTCTTTGACAGGTACGCAGATATCTATACTTCTCGAGTCTCAAATTTTCTTCGATTCACTCCATTCATGTACTTTAGATCTCAGGCTCAGGTATCCCTACAGAAGGTTGATGATAGAACTAAACGATTTTTTCCTGCAGAGCCTCGCGCACGACTGCCATTCGAATTGGTTTGACATGAGCACGGCCAGCTTCCCGCGGAGTGAGCCTGTCACTCACTAACAGCATTTACTCTGTATAAGATACTGATTAACCTCTAAACAAGAAGCTCCTTTAGCTTGTTTGATCATCGTAAAGTTTAAAGAAAGAAGACCAATAGATTCTTCAGTACTAAGCATATCCCTCCTCCACCTTGTCCGTAATTTAGGGTTTATGATGATTTTGGGATCTTCTTCCTTTGTCAGTGCGTGCTTGGAGTTTTCCGGGAGCTGGCGGTTCTCCAGCAAGCGCGAGCAATGTCGGCGGTGATGGAAGCGCTTCTTCGAATCTGCACTGGTACGTTGGCAGCCACCGCGGGATTTCTCTATCTCGCGATCGTTCTGGCGGAGAATCGTCTCTGGCCGGCGCTGCGATGGATTCCCGCGACAATGCAGGGATCGGCATGGCTGGTTCTTGCTGCATCGGCCGCTCTGAGGCGGATTCCGGGGAAATACGTCAGGGTTTGCGCCGCGGCGATTGCCACGGGCTTGGCGGCCGTGGCCGTGGTGAGGATTAGTGATCGATCACAGCAGGAAACAGGGCCGGCATTCTGGAAGCTCGTGCTGGATATTGCGGCATTTCCAATCAGCTTGCTTTTCTTGGCGATCAAAGAGAAGAAGAGCGAAGAAGAGGCACGCGCTAGGCTCCAGGAGCCTCTTCTTCTACACGACGAAGCTCGAAGCAAGAATGTTTGCCTCATCAGTGGAGCTGGATGGATCAGCCGTCTCTATTTCCTGTGGCTCAATCCTTTGCTAGCTCTGGGAAGTAGAAAGACTTTGGAAGAGCAGGACATGCCTCGAGTGGCTCCAGAGGATCGAGCAGACACAAATTACAAGGCTTTTGTGGAGCTCTGGAGTAGCAGCAACAGCAGCAGCAGCCAGCCATCTTTGTTTTGGACCCTCGGACGGTGCTACTGGAAAAACTTTCTCCAGAATGGCGTCTACGCATTGGGAAAATGTGTCACTGTGACGGCTGGTCCTCTCGTCCTCAAAACTTTCGTGGCGAGCACAGCAAAGGGTGGCAACGTCTCACAGGGGTATTTTCTGGTGCTGGTTTTGTTCCTGGGAAAGGCGGTGGAGTCGGTCTCCCAGAGGCAGTGGCTTTTCGGAAGCAAGAGGCTGGGAATGCGAATGCGATCCGCGGTTATGGGAGTTTTATACAGCAAGCAGCTCAAGCTCTCGGGCCTCGCTCGGAGAACTCACGCGACAGGCGAGGTGATAAGCTACATGGCTGTGGACGCTTACAGGATAGGAGAATTCGGCTACTGGGTCCATGTTGTGTGGACTACTCCGCTTCAGATCGCGATGGCAGGGGCAATTCTCGTGCATTCGGTTGGAACGGCGCCAGCGTTCGCAGGTCTCACGGTCATAGGACTCTCCATGCTGGCCAACAGGCCCATGGCCAGGCTCCAGCGGAAGTTCCAGAACGGCCTCATGAGTGCTCAGGACAAGAGAATGAGAGCTACTTCCGCCATTTTGCGAAACATGAAGACTGTGAAGCTGCAAGCTTGGGAAGAGATGTTTAAAGCCCGAATCAAGGAGCTGAGGGGCGAAGAGCTGGTGTGGCTGTCCAAAGTCCAGTACCGCAAAACTTACAACGCCTTCATCTTCTGGCTGCTGCCGGTCCTGGTTTCGACGAGCACTTTCATCGTTTGCTGGCTTACGGGGTACCCGCTGGATGCGAGCAACGTGTTTACGACACTGGCCACCTTCAGGATAATCCAGGAGCCGATCAGGCTGGTCCCGGAAGTGATTTCCGCAATCGTTCAAGTACGAGTTTCCCTCGGAAGGGTTTCAACTTTCTTACAAGACGAAGAGCTTGATCCTAAAGCTATCGAAAGAGACGTTAGTGGCGATGGCGTCGACATTCATATGCACAACGCCAGCCTTAGCTGGGACCCGGACGAAGGCAAGGCTAAAGCTGAGGCATCTACGCTGAAAGATATAAACCTGACCGTCCACAACGGATCACGGGTGGCAGTGTGCGGTGAGGTTGGCTCTGGGAAGTCGACATTACTTCTCTCTATCCTAGGAGAAGTTCCCCTTCTACACGGAAAGGTACAATAATTAGAAGAAAAAAATACTTATACTAATGCCTTTGGATGTTTCTCCTTTCACTTGCAGGTTAAAGTCTCTGGTAGTATAGCGTACGTGGCTCAGGTAGCATGGGTACAATCTGGAACAGTCAGGGACAACGTTTTATTTGGCATGGATATGGACAATAATCGCTATGCTATGGCTCTGAAAGCTTGCGAATTGGACAAGGACATAGAAAGCTTTCCTTTCGGTGACTTGACTGAGATCGGAGAGAGGGGACTTAACTTGAGCGGCGGGCAGAAGCAACGCATTCAACTTGCTCGTGCAGTTTATCAAGACGCGTCTGTTTACCTCCGTTTAGTGCCGTGGATGCACAAACCGGATCTTCGCTTTTCAAGGTACTTGACCTTGTACAGCTTTTCAATTCTTACTTGTGATGCCCTGCAGAACTGTATTCTTGGAGTTCTGTCTCAGAAGACTGTCATCCTTGTGACGCACCAAGTCGAGTTTCTTCAAAAGTTTGATGCCATCTTGGTGAGTGTTGTACTTGTGCTTTCCGCGATTATCATCGCTTGATGGCTCATGCAGGTGATGCAGAATGGAGAAGTTTTGGAGTCTGGAAATTATGATGACCTTCTTGCGCGAGGCGCCGTGTTTCGGGATCTCGTGATGGCACACAAGGATGTAATGTCCACTTTGGACGCGAGAGGCACGACAACCGTATCGAAGAAGACGGGTCTTCAGCATCGGAAAGGTGAAGATTGCACACCTGAAGCTTCGAAGTTTAATCAGCTAACCAAGGACGAGAAGAAAGAATTTGGTAATGCTGCCTACTTGGACTACATGAAGCAAGCCAACGGATTCTTTTACTACGGGCTATCCACACTTTCATACATTGTCTTTCTCTCGGGTCAGATGGCTTCTAACTGGTGGATGGCTTCTGAGGTTGAAAGTTCAGAGACAAATACAGGAAAACTCATAGGTGTGTATTCTGCAATTGGGTTGACAACGGGAGCTTTCCTCTTCATTCGATCGGTTCTCATTGTTATTATGGGACTGGCAGCGTCGAGGTCGTTCTTCAACAGCACAATGGATTCTTTATTCTCAGCACCAATGTCTTTTTTCGATTCCACACCAAGCGGCCGAATACTAAGTCGGGTAATGGTTTCTTCCTGTTCACTACTTAAACTAACTTCGACTTGCCAGCTCTCAGTGGACTTGAGCATCTTGGACCTCGATATTCCGTTTTCCTTTGGGTTTTCAATCTCGGCCTTCCTGAGTGCTTTAGCTAACTTGGGAATGACATCTTCTGTAACATGGCAGATTCTGGTGATCGTTGTCCCCATGATGTACATCAACAGACTCTTACAGGTGGTAACAGAGCATTTGGTTTCTGAGAACTGACTGTTTAAATCTTGTGTCAAGGCCAGGTTTATAACTTGGCATCTGCTCGTGAGCTGATGAGAATCAACGGAACTACAAAGGCACCGATTTTGAACTACTTCGGAGAAGCTATGTCAGGTGCTACTACAATAAGAGCTTTCCGCAAGCAGGAGGATTTCACGAGGAAGATTCTGGATATGATTGACACTAATACGAGTCCTTTCTTCCACAATTTTGCTGCAAGAGAGTGGCTTATTCAAAGGCTGGAGTCGCTGTGGTCTGCTGTTCTTTGCTCCTCCGCGTTGATTATGGTTATTTTGCCCCCTGGTACAATTTCTCCTGGTGAGCGGTACGATCGTTCGTGTTCGTGAATTGACTGATCTCTTTTCTTTACTCCCAGGATTTGTTGGGCTTGTACTTTCTTACGGTCTGTCTTTAAACAATTCTCAGGTTGCGAGCGTGCAAAACCAGTGCAACCTGGCTAACATGATTATTTCGGTCGAACGAATTAAGCAGTACTTATCTTTACCTGTTGAAACTTCCTCTAAAACTGGACTCTGGCCGTCTTGGCCCAGTGAGGGGAAAGTAGAACTTCACAACCTCCAGGTATTGCACTTTCATTATAGTTCTTTTTCCACCATACCTGTTTTCCAGATTAGATACAGTGCAGACGCACCTCTCGTGCTTCGTGGCATCACGTGTACTTTTGAAAGTGGTCAGAAAGTCGGAGTCGTAGGACGGACTGGCAGCGGAAAGACTACTCTCATTAGTGCGCTCTTTCGCATTATTGATCCAGCCGGTGGACGAATACTTATAGATGGAGTTGATATTATGACCATTGGCGTTACAGCCTTGAGATCTAGGGTGAGTATAATCCCTCAAGAACCAACATTGTTTCGTGGCACCGTCCGCTTCAACCTGGATCCGTTTTCTAAGTACACTGATCAAAAGATTTGGGAGGTCGATCGATTTTATTTCATCGTTTTCTTTACGACTGTTGTTGTATGTTGCAGGCCTTGGATAAATGCCAACTTGGAGAAAGTGTGAGAGAAAAAAATCTCAAGCTGGAGTCCTTTGGTAAGGCTCTCTTTAGTTTGAAGCCGAGAGTGACAGCTACATTTTCATAGTTGGAGACGACGGCGAGAACTGGAGCGTGGGAGAGAGACAATTGTTTTGCTTGGCTCGTACGCTTTTAAAGCGCAGCCAGATCCTGGTGCTTGACGAGGCAACGGCGTCCATCGACAATACCACCGACGCAGTTCTCCAAAAAGTGCTCGGAGACGAGTTTGGCAAATGCACAACGATCACAGTCGCTCACAGAATCCCAACTGTGGTTAGTAGCGACATGGTTCTGGCGCTTGAAGATGGTACGCAGAACCCATCGGGGCGATAATACTTACACCTCTGAGTGAATCTTTTCAGGATTACTGATGGAGTTCGACAGACCTGCAAAACTGTTGGGGAACAAATCCTCCCTGTTTTGCCGATTAGTAGCAGAGTACTGGTCGAATTCATCCCTTGAATGATTTTGATTCTCTTCGAGCTATTATATCGGCCGCATGAATAGCACGGGGCAATACTTTCGACCACAAGCTCAGCACTCAGTTGCCCTTCATTGACGAGGACAGGCACGTGAACAAAGCGAAAGTAAGTAAGCATCTTAGCCGAAGTGATTGACAAGAACACCATCCAGTGACGAGGCAGCTAGTTTAAAAAGCTGCTACCGGCCCAGCTCGCTTTAAAAGCGTTCTTTTGCCTAGAGTGACTACACCTCACTAGCTGAACTTTCCTCAACATCTTCGCGGTATCGTACAGTACCATATGCATATCCTAAAAGATAAATCTTTGGCTGTACAGACTTGGCGTGTCGGTGTGAAGATTACATGGCTCTACGAGGCTAAGAAAGACAAGTCATCAGGCAAATCAGTCCAAGAACAAACGCAAATGAAAGCCGAAGCTCGTCTTACCAGTTCACAATTATCAAAAAAGGCTGCAGCAAATTCATTTTCTATTCGGTCCACTGTTGGCAGCCGACTGTTTGTGTGGCTCCCACGTCCACCATGACCACGCAAACCAAGCAGAGTTCCTCAAGCAGCCCCCATAGTTGTCAAACTGGACTTAAAGTCTTGGGTGGCCGCTGGCATGTGTCTGGTGCGTGGCGTATATATGTCCTCATAAAGCTTGGTTTTTCATCATTCGCAGTTCCGCTCTTATGGCTTCAATGTCCCCGCAGCAGCTTCTCTGCCTACTCCTCATAGCAGCAGCTTGTTCTGCGTCTGCTCGTCCCGATTCTCTTCACAGCTATGCTCAATCTTGTCCGAGAGCTGAACAGATAGTCGCGGCCACTGTCAAGAGTGCGGCGGACCGGGATCCAACAACACCAGCCGGCATTATCCGCTTGTTCTTCCACGACTGCTTTGTCCAAGTAAGCTCGTCGTCCTTAGCAACTTTGTATGTGAGTTGTGACGAATGTGTTTATTTGTCCAGGGGTGCGATGCTTCAATACTTTTGGAATCGACTCCTACTGATGGGAGAGAGGTGGAGATGTTCGCGGGCCCGAACATCAACTCTGCTCGTGGTTTCGAGATTATCGAGGCGGCAAAGACCCAGCTGGAGGCTGTGTGCCCGGGAGTTGTGAGCTGTGCGGATGTTCTCGCGTTTGCTGCCAGGGACGCGACAACTTACGTAAGCACAAGTCGGCTATTGTTGATTTCTCTTTGACTTTGCCCGCAAATTTATGTAGTTTGGAGGGATGTTCTACACGGTGCCTACGGGTCGCCTTGACGGACGAATCTCTAGCAGAACAGAAGCCAACAGCTTACCGGGTCCCGCTTCCTCGTTCAGTCAGCTGAGAGACATCTTCGACGGCAAAAAATTGTCAGTTCAGGACCTCGTGCTGCTCTCCGGTAAGAAGTTTCTGTTCAAGCTAGAAATCTCCACCAACATTGCCGTAACTTACAGGCGGACACACCATTGGTCGCGCAAAGTGTCGATTCGTCGAGGCTCGTATCTACAACTTTAGCGGCACCGGAAGTCCCGATCCACGCCTGGACGCTACGTACCGTGAGGAGCTCCGGCGGATTTGCCCGCAGGGAGCAAACCCGAGCCCGACGGTGGCGCTGGACAGGAACTCGGAGTTTAGCTTCGACAACGCTTACTACAGGAACCTCGAGGCCAACAGGGGGCTGCTTTCGTCGGACGCGGTGCTCCGGACCGACCCGGACGCTGCCAATCTCATCAACTCGCTCGCTCAGAACCCGCCAACGTTCCTCTCCATGTTCGCGCAGTCGATGATCAACATGGGAAACATCGAGTGGAAGACGAGAGCCAACGGGGAGATAAGGAAGAAGTGCTCGGCCGTGAACTCCAGGATCACCACCGAAGTGGGCGACGTTGCGTCCTTCTAGGATATCAATCAACAAGGGTGGACGGTTTGTCTTGGCAAATTGGAAGAGCGCTGGAAAAATAAATCAATGTGTCACTGAATCACTTTGTAAACTGTGAAAATATTTCATACGGATAGAATCGGGGTTCGATCCTCTTCAAAAATCACTCTCTAGAGCGTGGTCTGGCCACCGCTGTAAGTTCTCCCAAACTGCCAGTCCGCAACGTTCAAGGACATGACCAATGGCCACCTCACCTCGACCGCCACCAGGTCGCCGCTGCCGCCAAGGTTGAAGCAGGTGTGGCCCTTCACCCAACGACATTATTGATTAAATTGTGTGGATGCGTGGCGTTTGGGATGATCGCGATCCTGCTGGTGGGCTCGCACCAGCCGCCGTCCCGGGGGACAGAGATTCATGGGGGAACGAAGTTGACGAAGGCAAAAGGATGACCGCACAAGCCGTCAACAAGATGACGCCTCGCAGTTCTCGACTGCGGCTACAAGAGCAAGAATGCGGCCCACACGATACGCTAAAGCGTATCGTACGTTCATTCAAGCCAACAACAAGGTCTCGACACGGAACTTGGAGCGATGGATAAGTGGGCGAGCAAAGACAACAAGGTAACGCCGAAATTCCCATGTCCACACCACCACCCCTGTCCCCGTTGCACTTTGACGTGGACATGCACGCGAACAAAGTATGTATACACCTTTTATTGTAGAGAGATAGCTGGTCTAAAAAGCTTTCCATCGGCCCAGCTGAGAGTAAGGACAGGTCATTAGACACACTAATATTCGTCAATCGAGAAAGCAACGCAAAAGCCAAGCTCGTCTTACAAGTTCATGTACCAAGGACAGCACACTCATTTTCTATTCGGTCCACAGCTGGCGGCCGATGGTGTATGTGTCTCCACGACCACGCAGAGCAACCAGACTTCCTTGAGCAGCCCCCGGAGTCTCGGGTGGGCGCCTGCGTGTGCATGGTGTGTGGCGTATGTATATATATATCCTCAGAAGCTTGGCTTTGCATTAGCTCTATGGCTTCAATGCAACTTCTCTGCCTTGCACTCCTCGTAGCAGCAGCTTGTTCTGCGTCTGCTCCCGATTCTCTTCACAGCTATGCTCGATCTTGTCCGAGCGCTGAACAGATAGTCGCGGCCACTGTCAAGAGTGCAGCTGACTGGGATCCAACAGCACCAGCCGGGATTATCCGCTTGTTCTTCCATGACTGCTTTGTCCAGGTAAGTTCATCGTCTAAGCTTTATGTATGTGAGTTGTAACGAATGTGACTCATTTGTCCAGGGGTGCGATGGATCGATACTTTTGGAATCCACTCCTACTGATGGCAGAGATGTCGAGATGTTCGCGCTCGGGAACAACAACTCTGCTCGTGGTTTCGATATTATCGAGGCCGCAAAAACTCGCCTGGAGGCTGTGTGCCCGGGAGTTGTGAGCTGTGCGGATGTGCTCGCTTTTGCTGCCAGGGACGCGACGACTTACGTATGATTTTCCCTTTTTGACTTTGTTGCTCATCGCCGAGTCTGATTGATGTAGTTTGGAGGGATGTTCTACACGGTGCCAACGGGTCGCCTTGACGGACGAATCTCTAGCAGAACAGAAGCCAACAGCTTACCGGGTCCCGCTTCCTCGTTCAGTCGGCTGAGAGACATCTTCAGGGGCAAAGGCTTGTCAGTTCATGACCTCGTGCTGCTCTCCGGTAAGAAGCTTCTCTTGAAGCTAGAACTCTCCACTAACATTGCAATAACAGGCGGACACACCATTGGTCGCGCGAAGTGTAGATTCGTCGAGACTCGTGTTTACAACTTTAACAACACCGGACGTCCCGACCCAAGCCTGGACGCTACGTACCGTGAGGAGCTCCGGCGGATTTGCCCGCAGGGAGCAAACCCGAGCCCGACGGTGGCGCTGGACAGGAACTCGGAGTTTAGCTTCGACAATGCTTACTACAGGAACCTCGAGGCCAACAGGGGGCTGCTTTCGTCGGACGCGGTGCTCCGAACCGACCCGGACGCTGCCAATCTCATCAACTCGCTCGCTCAGAACCCGCCAACGTTCCGCTCCATGTTCGCGCAGTCGATGATCAACATGGGAAACATCGAGTGGAAGACGAGAGCCAACGGGGAGATAAGGAAGAAGTGCTCGGTCGTGAACTCCAGGATCACCACCGAAGTGGGAGACGTTGCGTCCTTCTAGGATATCAACAAGGGTGGAAGGTTTGTCTTCCAAAACCTTGGAATTGGAAGAGCGCTGATAAAATAAATCGACGTGTCATTGATCGCTTTGTTTGATACAAATGGATGTGTATAGAATCGGGTTTCGCTGCGAAGTGGGTGCCAGTATCGTCACCTCCTCTTCAAAAATCACGCTTTCTCCAATCTCCCTAGAGCTATGGAATTTGTGTTCGTGGATCTCTCGCTGATCAGAACTGGCCGCCGCTGTAAGTTCTCCCAAACTGCCAGTCCGCGGGAGCCACATTCATGGACGTGACCACCTTCCCATCGCTCCCGGTGACCCGAAAGGAGAGCGCCTGGCCGTTAAGGTCGCCCATGTCTTGCCAGTTCTGGCCCCAGTTCCTCTGCATTTGCCGCCACCCGGTGGCGGAGCCCTTCACCTCCACTGCCACCACGTCGCCGCTACCGCCAACGTTCTCCACCAGGACAAGGTTGAAGAAGGTGTGGCCGTTGACCGTGAAGCGAATCCCCCCTTGCCTATCGCACGCAACTCTGCATTGATAGTCATCGTCAAGTCAAAAGGTGAACTAGTCAACGACTCAAGTCATTTAGTCAGCTGAGTGAGAGTGAGTGAGTTAAGCAGTGAGTGAGCGCTCTCTCTTACCTCCTGTATTGGAGCTGAACGTGGCCATTCGGGATGCTCGCGATCCTGCTGAATGCGGGCTGCGAGAGGTCGAAGTGGGGCTTGGGCGGGTCGCACCAGCCACCGTTGCTCCCTGGGGGGCAGAGATTCGTGGCGGTGACGACGGTGGAGGGATTGCCCGGCAGGCATCCCGCGCCACCGGCGCACCGGATCTCGAAGCACGCTCCGCAGATGTCGCCGTTTTCGAAGAGCGGAGTGCTCAGGGCGGTGGTGATGTAGCCGTAGCCGGCGCTCAGCTGGTTTCCATAGCCGCAAGCTCCATCTGGCAAGGAGAGGAAAGAGAATGCGAATGAGAAACCAGAAGAGAATAGAACAGGGGAGGTTTTCAAGGGATCTCACTGTTTGTCCCGGACGCATCGCTCCCTCCGTAGTAAGTTGCGTGCGCTCCGTCCAGCCAGCCTCCATCTCCATGCACTCGCCGCAGGAGCATGAGCGCGGCAGCGGCAAACACCGCACAGACTTTCATCATTGCAGCCCACTTGTTCGCCATGCCTTTGGAAAAATGTGTATGCGAAAAGAATCAACGAAAAAACTTGGGAGAAGAGAATGTGACCGGAGCTGCCCAAGAGGAGAGTTAAAAGGAGGAAACCAATGAATGAATTGATGGTGTTGGGGTGGCTTGGAGGTGCTTTGCTTATATAGTCAAAGAGGCACTTAAAGGCAGTCTGGTTGTTGCTATATATTCATTGAACATGGGTGATCAGAAAAAAAAAGAAAAAGAAAAAGTTCGTGGTTTGTGACAACAACACTACACAGTTGTGTGCAGTGCAATGCAGTGCGGCGTGCAGCAGTGTGCAGCTGCTGCTGGGCTGTTGAAACAACACCACCAGTTAGTGCAGCGAACACATGGGATTGACCAAACTCACCACATGATTCTTCGCCTCGTTAACTCTCGCCCCCAAACGATTCGATTCCGGGGATTTCATGAAATTTGCATAAAGAATTGGTAATACCTCATCCATGTGATAGCACATGTGATCGCTTTCTGGTTCTTCTTTTCTCTCTCTCTCTCTCTCTCTTTTTCCCACAGGCTGCGTGATTGTGCGTCGCACTCACCTTCTGTTTGCTGTTTTGCAAGTTTGTCAAATGCGCTACAGACACGTCTGGTACCCATGAAAACAGAATCAACAAACCACCCCACTGCACACCAAACCGGCCACACAAACTTCAAAGCCCTCGGATTCCAAAGGGTGTCTTCCAATTCCCCACAAGCTTTCGGGTTGGAGACCATGTTGCATGAAAAGATTCATCAAACGTCAGACAGCAAATGTCATGGCCACCGACGAAATGCCCAGTCCTATCCAAGATTCAAAGCTTCTCTCTTCGATCGCTCTCTAGACTTTGTGTCAGAAATTGATTGAGAACTAAAAAAAGTTAACTCTCCAATTGGAAACTCTGTGACTGACCCAGTTTCCCGGTCTCAGAATGGGGCCCCAGAACTCTCTTTTCTGTCACTTTGTGCTCGGCTAGACAGATTCAATGCGCTGCGAAACGGTCTCCCTACCGAAATGCAACCGCTGCGCCGCTGCAGAGCCAAAACATGTGCAATTCCTCACTCTTTTACATGTCCTGACACCCAAGTAAAATGGTGGCAGAGCTACCGTTGTTATAATCATGGCTGTGGGAGAAACCCTTCTTTGTAGCATACAAATATATATCAACTGTACCAACTTCTGATATGATATAGAGTGTAAATCTTAAGGAATCCAAAAGAGGGATCCTAGGCATCTTGTTCGGTTGTTCGTTGATATGATAAGGCCATTTTGTGATCTCTTATTGCACATGGGGAGGCTCGTTGAAAAGAAAAAAAAGAAAAAAAAATGGATAAGTCACTTGCATGTTGGTGCACCAACTTTTTTTTCTCTCTTTTTCATTTCATACAGTAGTCCCACATGAGCTACAATAGATCCCCTCACTGGGCATTTTGATTTGTTTTCACTATCTTTCCCGGGCCTATAAAAGCAGCCAACTCTCACCCACAACTCATTCCATTCCTTTTCTTTCTCTTTTCTTCTGATCCGTCAGTTGGATCTTCTCCAATCTCTAGGCCTTGACCAGATCTTCCACTCTCGATCGATCAATCTTCTAGCTTTGGAAGCTCTGTTTTAAACACATTTGAATCCATGGCGGCGCTTGCCACTGCTTGGATTTTGCTAGCTCTCATCGCGGCAATGCCAGGAGCTCGCGGCGATGGCGGATGGCTAGATGCTCACGCGACGTACTATGGAGGAAGCGATGCCTCGGGAACTAACAGTAAGCGATAAAAGAAACAGAGAATTCAATTCCCCTGTTCTTACCACGCCCCCGGTTTCATTCCTCTCCAGATGGAGCTTGCGGCTATGGAAACCAGCTGAGCGCCGGCTATGGCTACATCACCACTGCCCTCAGCACCCCGCTCTTCGAAAACGGCGACATTTGCGGCGCTTGCTATGAGATTCGCTGCGCGGGCACGGGATGCCTCCCGAGAAATCCTTCCACCGTCGTCACCGCTACCAATCTCTGTCCTCCGGGGAGCAATGGCGGCTGGTGCGATCCGCCCAAGCAGCACTTTGATCTCTCGCAGCCGGCCTTCTCCCAGATCGCCAGCATTCCCTATGGTCACGTCCTCCTCCAGTACCGCAGGTAAGCGAGACAGATAATCGATCCACCGCAAGAGCCCCTCCTAAAATCGCCTGTGATGTGCTGTGATGATCTAGAGTGCCGTGCCAAAGGCAAGGTGCCATCCACTACACGATCAATGGGCACACCTTCTTCAATCTGGTGCTGATCGAGAATGTAGGCGGCAGCGGCGATGTCGTGGGCGTGGAAATCAAAGGCTCAAACACCAATTGGATGCCCATGGCAAGGAATTGGGGCCAGAACTGGATGATCGGGGGCAACCTTGGCGGTCAGAGCCTCTCGTTTAGGGTCACCGGCAGCGATGGCCGCAAGGTCACCTCGCTCAACGTCGCGCCGGCGAACTGGCAATTTGGTAGAGCCTACAGTGGTGGCCAGTTCTAAACCTCTATCTCGATCGATCAATCGATGGAGCGAGCGAGTGAGAGAGGGAGCTTATACGGTTTGTGCGATTTTCCTGTAGAGCCGAGCGTGGAAAGGAAAACACAGGAGGTGGGCTATGGCGAGAATCACCCCATTCTTTTGCTTCCGCGGCTTTCGGAGAAGATTCCATGTATATGCTGTTTTTAAATCAAAATTTAATTTTTACAATTAATAAAATCTTATTCCAAATAATAACTTTGCATATTTCCACTTATTTTACAAGAAAATAAAATAATTACAAATGGTCATGCATCAAATTAATATAAAAATACTATTTACTTCTCACAATAAACTTCTTTCAAACATGTTTGAAACATACTTCCTACAAAAACATCTATTTTACCAATAATATCCTCTTTTATAGATTGTTTTTTCAAAAACCTCATTTATCCTATGAAATTGGCTTCATCACATTAAAAAAAACCTTTATATGATGTTGAATAATTTTTCCATGACCATGTAAGTATAGGAGCCTTCCAACTCCCAAAGACCAAAGTGTGGCTGTGGAGGAGCTAAAAAGTTTCGAAATTGACATCCAGGAAATTAATCTAGTTTTTCATTGGTATATCACAAAGCTCCTCCCATTTGAAGCTTCAGCCTCTCCAATCTCCTCATGGATCTCATTTACGATCTCACGACCATCAACCACCTCGGGCAGCTGCCTTACTCGTTTGTGTACGAGTTCCCAAATACGGCCAACTAATTTCATAGCTACATATGTTATTTCGACTTCCCAAAAAAAAAACATCGTTATAAATTAAATTTTATCTGTAACTAGTCTATCACCCGTCCGGTAGCGATCAGAGCAACTAGAGGATGGGGGATTTCCATCCCTAATGGGAGCAGGAACATTTTGCAAGAAAATATTCAACTTCCGCAATCGTCATGGCCACTGAGGAAATCCCAAATCCTATCCCAGAGCCTCTGGCTAGTGCAAGACAAATGATCCAAGAGCTTCTAATTGAGAAAGTTAACTCTCCCAAACTCACGATAGGCCCTCATAACTCTCTCTTTTCTGTTACTTTGTGCTCGGCTGGACAGATTTAATGTGCTGCGAAACGGTCTCCCTACTGAAACGCAAATGCTGCTCCGCTGCAGAGCCAAAACATGTGCAATTCCTTTACATGTCCTGGCACGAAAGGTGGCAGAGCTTGTGCATGAGACAACGTTGTTATATTCATGGCTCTAGGAAGAACCCTACACCAACTTCGGAACACACAACTTTACCAAATTCTCCCAGGAATTGATATGATATAGAGTATGGAATCGAAAGGAGGGATACTGGGCATCTTGTTCGGTTGTTAGTTGATACAATAGGACCATTTTGTGATCTCTTGTTGCACATGAGGAGGTAAGGAAAAATAAAAATGGATAAGTCACTTGCATGATGGTCCACCAACTTTTTTTCTCTTTTTTGTCTTTCAGCATGGCCCCTAATGAAATTTATAAAGTGTCTGTAATGTAATATACACATCAGCCACGTCACTTTTTGGTGCTCCCTTCACTGGGCATTTTGATTTGCTTTCACTATTTTTTGTGGGCCTGTAAAGGCAGCCAACCCACAATTCATTCCATTCCTTTTCTTTTTGACCCTTTAAGTTGGATTTCCTCAGGAACTAGCAGTAAGAGATAAAAGAAAACAGAGGATTTCTATGTTCTTACTATGCCTCCTGTTTCATTCCTCTCTAGGTGGACCTTGCCTGGACCCTCTCATTTAGGGTCACTGGCAGCAATCACCTCGTGCACCACCATGGCCATAACACAAATTGAAACACAGATCCAAGGCACAAGGCTATTAGTGACAGGGAAGATAACCAGTTGAGTACCAATGGAAGACAACAGCCATAGTGAGTACCCCAAACAAGGAGCCAGATCTAGGCACGACCATGCCGGACACCCACAGCATGTCAAAAGAACATAGCACACTATAGCTCAACTAAAGAACCACACAAAGTAGACCAAAAGAAAAAGGGTAAACATGAAATCAACCATTTATCTAGTGATGAGAAATAGACACAGTACTTGCAAAATCCAACACTCACTGTTTAAGGTATGCCATGTGCTTATACCTTCTACTTGAGCTCTACTTGGTTGAGGAATGTAGACAAGGCAATCTTCAGCGAACACTATGTTGTCGTCATTGATAGAAACCCCATCCACTTCAAGGGCACCATGAAGCCTATACCTCTCTAATTGCTTGTAGATCTTCTCTACTAGCATCCCTGCTGGAGGAAATTGCACCTTGATCACCTCTTGTGCCATCATTGGCTTGCACAATCATTACCATTGTCGCCATATGCACATCTATATCCTGGAAAGTGAACCCCAGAATGGTGCATCTGATTATGATAATTATTATTATAATTCAGTTTTTATGATTCACTACTACTCTATCTTTTGCATTCCTGCATTTATTGATACCATCATCAAATCATTCTGTTGTTGTTTCACAATGTTGTTAAAAAGCTAAGGAAATAGTGAAATGTAAATCTTCAAAGATACAAATTTATCCCTACTAATATTAGAATAAGCTATTGTTCATTTTATTTTGGATTTGATGCATTAATATATATATAATGTTATTTTTAATGACATTTGTTCATCTGGAGTTTATTATGTCTTGTAGCCTGTAGAAGTACTAACTATTGTGATACAGTTAAAATTCTTAATTTCGTGTTTTGAAGCATAATACAATACTTCCAGGAAGTTGAAGTTAATAATCACTTTAGCAAAGCAAGCCTATCATTGAAAATTGAAAATATTAGGCAAACTTTTGCACTATACATGTATATATTAGTTTCCTTCCACTTCAAAGTTAAGAGGATGAATGACATCTAGGGTTAGAGGCTGCCTCTCATCATATGCAGCCTTTCAACATCTCCACTGCTGCATTGATCTTGTGGTGCTGCATTTGCTTCAACCTTCCCAACAATGAATGTTGTAGGGAAAGTCAACATCATTTCAATAGAAGCTTTATCATAGGATCCCACCAAAAACGGTTGGGAAGGCTATCTCCCACCAGGCCAATCTGCATGACCTACACAAGTTGTCCCCATGTCTCCAATGGTAATGCCTGCAACTCTTGGTACCAACTTTCTCACCTCAAAAAATATTCCCCCTATGGATCTTTATGCAGAGTTCTACACACCCTTTGCTGGCTGACAGTTGGATTTTCCCTTCAGCCCAGGTGTACCACCTACTCCATTTCATTTGCCTACGACTGTCCCATTTGAAGTGGTGAACACTACAACATCTGCTGGAGCCTTGAGAGACTCCCATGCAGACGCTTGCAAACTCCCAAGAGTTATCTCAAGAGTGAGTCCACAGAGTCAATCAAGGCTTGTATTGTTTATGTTGAGGTTGACCTTGAGGTTGGCCCACCTCTCAGCCCTCCGAAACGGCATGTGGAAATTGTTGAAGTGTCGTCAGAGTCCATCGCAGACTCTGGTGAAGCAGTAGCTTGCCGTACTGCAATAAAGGAAGTCATGGTGGCTATCATGCACATAATTCACAAGGAAAATGGAAATGGGAGTGAGGGTATGGGTATGTTACTGCCTGCATCAAGGAACATGCTAAAGGAGATGCAGACTTTGTCCTCCTTCATGCAGTACGAGGAGCAGCTGAAAGTGGCAATCGCATCCAGGAAGCTTATGTTTGTGCTTCAGCTGCTAAATGAGGTTGGCCTCCAAGTAGTTATTTTAGCTACATATATGGCAAATTTGATGCCTTGGTGCGATGTCTAATTATAAACCTTTTATGAATGTGAAGTTTTATACTGTCGAGGCTTAAATTAGTTCATGGGGAACACAATGCTTCAGAATCTTAAATCCAAGTCCTGATATTACATATAAAAAAGAGTCCTACAAAGTAAATATTATACTTTACATTGGTACTACGAATAATCATTTTTCTCAGGCAGAGGTGGTGAAACCACCATTTCTTGTTTTATCGACTCTGCTGGTGGCGGATTTGCTGCTTCCAGTTGTGAATCTACTCATTTGGGTAGTGCTCTACGTTCAGGAGGGGCTTCATTTGGCATACTGTGAAACCATATGAACTCTACATATCCTTTGCGGGAGGATATGAACAGTCTTGTATCCAGTGATCTAAAGCACCACATCTAAAACAACCACCTCTTCTTATTGTGGTTATTAGACTCGGACTTCCACTTTTCAGGCAATCTGAAACCCACTCAAAGTTGTTGCACTCTTGGAAGAGCACTGTAAGTTCATAATCTATACGAATAGTAAACTCACCTTATTCAAGCATTTGAAAAGTGGCATGTTAGAATGCTTCGCAGTCCTTGATAGAAACAACTTCATGTGTCGACCACATTTTACACACACCTTGGAAGGAATTGGCTTACACTGAGTGTTATGGTGTTTGTTGCAGTTTGATAAATGTGGCACCACAGATGTCTCAGTATGTGTGCTGGTTGATGCAGACTTAAGACTCACTGTCACTTGCACTCCCCGGTTAAAATTGGATCCTTCAAGGTCTATTGTGAGCTTGCTTGCACGGTCTGTGAGACCGGCCAATGGATCTCAAACTCATTTTGCTCTACTTCTAAGTTTTGTTTTCATCGCCTGCAACAAAATGCATTAGATATCTCCAAAACAATACTAAACTTTATGGGAACACATACCTGTTGTCCCAGATTGCACCAATGGAGTGTAGCAAAAGCAAATAAAATATAGGAGCTGCGTGTTTTATTGCCTTGTCTCTGCGCTATTGAGCCAGTGGCACATACATGTCATTAAACACAACATACAACCTTTTTAAACACAACACTTACTTTGGATTTGGTGACCGAGAGGCTATTGTGATCCAGGTGTCTGAAATGGCCAGAGGAGATAAGGAAGAGCATAGGTCAACAAGAAATGGAAGAATGGCAGCAATTGCAACCGTCACCATGGTTGGAGACTTACTCCTTTGTTATTGCTCCTCCTTTGTTAGACATCCACTAGCCATGTTACCCTAAACTCATATCCACCTGGTTAGCATATTCTTCAGAACATGCTACACCACATCAGCGTTAGTGGCATTCAGTATCAAGTGGGGATTCTATCATGTCATATTATTTCAGAAGGGGCTGATCATACATGTCTGAGAAAAATGTACTAGAACTCACATCCAAGAAGAAAAAACCCCACTAAAGGCTAGAAAACATTTTGCCCAAATTGATTGTCGTACTGATGGCCTTTAGGAGCAATGGATTTATGTGGTAAAGCCCATGGTTACTACTTACTGGGCATATGTGAAAAAATGAGTTAGCATATGACTCATATGACAATGAATACAAAATTAGCCTAATTAATGTAAGAAATATTGTCACAATTAAATAACCATAAACTTCATAAGTAATTATCATTAAGAGCTTGAAAATAGATAGTGAACAGAAAATTAAATAGATGTAAACAAAAATTATCTAGAATATCTAAGCTTGCATTGCATCCCTGTGAATGGCTGCCAATTTCTACCTTGCTCCAGACAGTGATCTTCTTGCGTTGTCTTAGTTTCAAGTGTCAACAATGACATCAATAATAATGCATTTTATACAATAATAAAAGCTAACAAGATTATAACGTGGTTTTATATTTCTCATATAAACTATATTGTTTTTCACATTTTTTTAGAAAAATATCAAATCAGATTTTCAGTTGTTGTATACAGTATTACACCCCGTTGGAGTGCCCTTCCCAACGGGGAGCACACCGGCTGGGGGATTTGCAACCGATGCCCGCGGGTATTATGTACAAATGCTAATTTTAGGATTAGGGTTCTTGAGCATTCAAAGATCTCGCCCGCCGATCGCACGATGATGTTCTAGGAGAAGCGCGAGTCGAATCGAAGCCTGCACGCCGTGCAAAGGCACTTTCTAGGATACAGATGTGCATATGGTGACGACAGTAACGATTGTGCGAGCCAACGATAGCACGGAGGTAATCAAGGTGCGAATTCCTCCAGCAGGGCTGCTGGCAAAGAAAATTTACAAGCAGTTGGAGAGGTATGGGCTTCATGGTGCCCTTGAAGTGGATGGGGTTTCTGTCATTGACGACGACACAGTGTTTGCTAAAGATCACCTCGTTTACATTCCTCAGCCGAGTGCAGCTCAAGCAGAAGGTATGAGCACATGGCATACCTTAGACACGAGAGTCTTAGTGAGTGTTCGGTTTTGCAGGTACTTTGTCTGCCTTGCCGTACTTCTCATCACCGCTACGACCTTCCAAGAAGTTGAAGGCGTCTTATTTTCAAGGGAAGACAAGATGTGTTCTTGTGACAGAGCTCGTTGGCACTCAAAGCTTTCGTGTTGCAGCTGCTCTTAGCTGGTTGTGGCTACACCTCTTCGGGGACTCACCAAATCTATCAGCTTTTATGTCGACTTTGCACGAAAGAAGGTACTACCCTTACCTTCTCGCAATTGCAAGGGCAGCTGCTGTCAGCGACCAAGGGCGTGTTGAAATATTTGGCGTCATTCCGGATGTGCAGGTGATCATCGACCGCAACGAGGTGATTCCATTGGACGTGCAGGTTACATGGTCCCATGGGAGTGTCGATGATCCAGATGGAATTGCCACGAATTCAGACAGCCTCAGCCAGCTGCTTAACTATGTTCTCAACTACAACAAAAACAGGGTGGGCAACTACAGTTGTATGGCTGCATTGATCATTCGTGTCCAATTTGTCTTTTTTTTCAAGTTTCACATCAGGAAGAATGGCGAGGATGATCTAGGAAGCTTGGAGCTGCTAGAATATGCTCCTGGCTTCCAAAGGGGAAGCGGTCAGATGACTGCAGAGGCTGGGCTATGGGAAGTGTGCTTGATCGACATGGCGCGCTTGATCAATAACGAGTTTGGGATCGAAAGAAACTGGTCTATAAAGCCGGTGCAAGACATGGACGTGCCAGAGGCTTTGTTATCTCGTATGCACAGTGCTAGCTTCCAGGAGTTACTTCCTTTCGCACCACCTGAAGGTTTCCATTCACTGGTCAAGTATTTCAGAAGTGTGGCACCTGACTGCTACGGCCCAGTCGAGTTCGTCTATGAAAGCAAAACCGGCAGCGTTCAAGTTTCGAGCGTGCTGGCTTCAGGGCCCAGGTCTTGCGTCTTTGCAACAGCAGGATTGGCCAGCGTTGTCAAGGTGTCTTCTGAAAACTACATCGATCTTGATATCCGGGCGCACTTCTTGGGTCACTCATCTGATTGCAGATACTTACGGAAGATGATCGGACATGGTCGAGTGAATGGAGCAGGCCGGGGTCTCAGATTTGTGGAGCTGGAGGGAGTGGGTGTCCCCTTCAGCAAGAAGCACGTCTCAACTGCGAAACAGATTGCCAAGTGCTGGAGAGAAGCGTCGGAGGCGGTGAGAGCTCTGCATCATCGCAAAGTTTTCCACAGGGATATCAAACCGAGCAATTTCATCGTCATGGAACACGGAACTGGAGACCAGAGGCTCGTTTTGAACGACTTCGACTGTGCTGCTCACTGGGACGATAGCATGAGAGAGGAGGTTGGAACTGTTATGTTCCGCTCTCCTGTGCTTGATGAAGGTGGGGAGTACTGCTGTCGAGATGACTGGCTTTCCCTTGGGCTCAGCTTTGCTTACCTGTTGGGGATTTTTCCAGAGAGACTTTGCTGGAACAGGCAGCGGAAGCTTCAAATTTTACAGGAACTTGCAGTTCATGCATTGGCGCCTGCAGATATGAAGACCACGATCCTTCTTGCTCTTGGTGAAGAACATGTTTGCTGTTGTAGAGTAGTTTCGACTCATATATGTAAAAATATTTAAATTAAATAGCTTAATGTTTCATCACACTTATTTAAGTTAAAATATCAACTTTAATTCATATTAATTAAATTAATTCTAAACTAAATGTTTTTAATTAATTAAATTGAAGTGTTTTGTTTTTTGAATTACAATATGCGTTGCATAACCCTTTGCTTAATCTGAATGGATAATTGTGCATAAATCTAGATTCTTGCTCTTTCAGGTTCCTTTATGGCTCAATCACTCTCCACTCTGATACTTCAATTGCTCTATTGCTCATGCTATGTCACTTCATTAATCTTTTGGGCTTGCCTTGCAAATCTTGGTTTTGGGGAGCATGAGGGTTGAAGGCCTGTGACATAGTGCCCCTTAAACACCACCAACAACACCCATAAGATGATCTAACATACATGTCTGTCTTAATCACCTTGAGTGCCTTGAGTCCCTTATCTTCAGCAGCTTGAGTGCCTTCCAACTTTGAGTGTCTTGAGCTCCTTGAGCACCTTCCTAAGTTATATGATCTGTGATTTATTTCAATAAAGCAATTCTAGTCAAAGTAGTTGCACAATTGACATAATGGTAGAAAGTGACATTGAATTAGTTGGTAGCATGTAGTGGCATAAAGGTGCTAAACAAGTACCAGGAAGAGATAGACAAGATATGAGAGAAGAATCTTTTTAAATTAGTGGATGTTTGCAAATTACTCCCAATGTGCAATGTTAGATTAGCTCTATCTTCTTTTCCAGCTGCAAACATGCTAACACAGGAACTCCGCCTTATGAGAAATCCTATACATCTTGAAGTTACTGAAAGAAAGCCTTTTGCAGAGAGAGACCCTACCAGATCTTTTTAACTATATTTCTTTTATGATTAAATAAATTAGAACTGGAATTAAATTAGCTATGATTAGTTAGCTATATTATAATATAGTTAGCTTAATGTATTAATATAGTTTACAATTATTATTGTTACAATAGTTATAATTAACTATACCCTATTTATTAGTGATATTGCAGGGTACTTGCAAACTATAAAGTAGTCTCTGAGAAAAATATTTAAAATAGATGTATAGTTAATTAATGAATACGTGCTAATTTATATTAATATAATAATTGTACAGTATGCTTTATTATATATTTAGAATTTAACTAATTTGAATACATTTAAGTAAACTAGTATTTTAACATCTAGTGAATGATATTACTATATAAAAATGTATGTACATTATTTTCTAACTATATTATAAATTGAAAGTTTCAATGTATCTATAATTTAGTTTAATCTCCTTTCCTTGATATTGGTTCCTTGCTAGATTTATTTGATATGAAATCAAGAACCACAAATAATTCTTTGCAGCGTTTCTGTAGAACTGTTCTTCCACAACTGCAGTCAACACTGCCTCCAAGCCATATCAAGCACTTGGAAGCTGCTCCTAGAAGTAGCATGAAATGCTTGCCAAGATCCAAGGAGCTTATTTCTATTGAAGGACACTCAAAGGTGCCTTATTCCCCCAATAAAACATGTGTATGAAATGATGAACACTAACCATAGCAACACATAAAGAAGCACTGAGCGTATGTGTACATCTGAACCAGGTCCGCTCCTGGAGACATCCCCATCGTCCCTTTCATTTGGCACATGCTCTTGAACCTGCTGCTTCAACCTAGATAGTCTATCCAGTTGCTCACAATCAAGTTCTCTCCACTCCACAGCAGCGAAACAAGTTCCATCTAGTCAAGCTCTTTCAAAAGTGGTGGTGCCTCCCAAGGATCTATATATAATTGCTGTAGAACACACTTGAAACCAGCAGAAGAAAACTCTATCACAAAAAGAAGAATACAAAGAAAGAAAAATAGGAAAAGGAAAAAAGGATCATTTACCAGATGTATGGGTTATAAACTTCCAAAGACTCCTTTAATGAAATTTCAAAAGTCGACTCTGCTAAGTTCATATGAGAAATTTACATCCTTTCTCCTCTTCTTGGCACTTCTTATGCAGTAGTTGGCATTCCAGATTCATAAACTCCACCTATAAAAATATGAGTTGAGATCTAAGTTTAAAACTTAAAACATACCAGTCAAGCCATATTTTAACAACCAATCCAACATACCATTTAATCCAACACCCCCTATCTCATGATAACATCTTGTGAATCTCCACTTACACACTAGAAAGATTAAGATAGCTCTCATGACAATACGAGCTTCCAAATAAATAAAATAAAATTGCTATACTCCTCTTTTCTCTGTAAAACAATGAGTCATTCTTGCACAATCACAAAGAGGAAGAGAGCAAACTTCACCTCCTTCAGCAGGATTATAATTGAAAATTAATTTTATATTGGTCATAGAGCATACTCCAATGATGTATTGGCCATTGACAGCAGCCACCCTAGCAAACCCATCTAACTGATTCTACTTTGCCTTGCAATTTGGCCTAGTGACAGATCTGACTTGTGCCTGGCATCCACCACTAGCCAGCAGCATCACCCTGTAACCTTAACTACACTCAAGAATCTGGATAAGTACACATTGCTTTCTCACGTGTTCTCATCTTGCTCTTGGCTACCATAAGTTTGTCTGTCCACCTGTGGGAAGAAGTGACTAAGGAGAAGAAAAAAATCAATGATTTGGATGATGGCACCTCCAATCATCCAAGGGAATTACATTAGAAAGGCCTTGATGAAACTTCTTATATTTTTCCTGCATCTGGAACAGTTTCTAAGCAAAACATAATCTCCCCACGTCCTTTCCAGAGTCAGAGTAGCCAAACATCATTGATGTGATTACAATACCAGTCAACCTAAAAGAGGCAATCCATGGCTGCTGGAGCTACTTCTAAATCCGCGAGCTTCTCAAATAGTGGCCCGGCAACAATCAGAAGAATGTCGCTCACCGCTGCATCCCTTTGGGACACATTGAGCTTCCGGAGATACGTTGACATGAACCAGAACCTCCATCGCGAGCGTCCTCCTTCCTCAAAGCCTATCAATCCCCTCGAAAGCGTCATCATCAAAATCGTCGAGGTCCTCCAATGAAGTATGGGGACCAACAGTGGATAGTTCTGCTTTCCCCCCGCACACAGCACCTTTCACATTCACAACCACGAGAGGCGGCCTTACCCCGCACACCTCCTTCCTGTCAAGGCGATCTCTCATCACATTTTCGAGAGCAAAAGCTAACAAAATCGATACCTCTTATTCAAATGCGCGCCAGCGCCGATGGATTTCCTAGCCAGTCGCGCCTTGGCAGCGCCTAGGCTCCGTGCTCGCTGCTCCTCGCTGAGGACGCATCCCTGCATTTCAAAACCCTAGAGCGGGAAAAATCCATAAACCCTAAAAGCAGAAAGAGGGCTTCTGGCAAAGTAAGTGCTTGGAATCATGGCTTCTTCTTCCAATTGCTTGCAGCAACGGATCCTTGAAAGGTATTAGATACGTGAAAATTGCATTCTCTATTGGAAAATCATGAGTTTGATTGAAACAGTGGTCTTTGATGTACTCTACTTTCTAATCTATGAAATTTTTCCAAGTGATATAGATACTAGTCTTGCAAGTGGAGTGGAGTCTTGAGCGATGTCGGCCTTTAATCACATAATTCTCCACCTTGAGGTGGAAGGAATCGATACAAATTTCAACAGGGAAAGACAGAGACATCGATTCCGGTCAATCCAGGGACCAGATGAAAGCCCCAATTGCATACTGGCGCTTGGCTTCCAGGCCTCCCATGCTCCGCGCGGGCAGCCCATACTCCTCGAGCAGCCGATCCAGCAGCCACTCGGGCATCTGCTCGTACTCTGCCTTGGTGTACCTCGGGTAGTGAAGCGGCATCCGGAACTCGTATGGCACCGATGGATTGTGGAGCGAGATCGCCGAGTAGGGGCACCGCTCCTTCGTCGCCCTGTTCAACTCCCGATCCTTGTGCAAATTTGCCGGGTGAGACGATGGCGATGGCGATGGCGATCCATTGAGAGAAGCAGAGCTAGTAGGAGAGCTCCCGCCGCATCGAACGATCTGCCTCAGCCTCGCGGAGAAGGACGGTCGCCGGAGATGGAAGCCCTCGGGCGGCGATCCTCCTCCTCCAGCGCTCTCGGAGCCCAGCAGCATCACCATACCTGGATCTGACAGTGCGCGGGGCAGTGGGGTTTAAATCGGAAAGATGCTATAGAATATTCTCTGCTAGATCCAGGACCATATCACTGCGCGGGCATAAAAGCATGGGAGTTACGCGCGAATGCAGGGAGAATCATTGCCTCCTGTGTCCCCAATTTAGGAAGCCACTATTCTTCTACTAGACTACTACCTCACGCATTTCTAAAATTCTTGGAAAATTTCGTCGTGGATGATGATAGCTTCTCGGCTATCATTCACGCAATCCAGAAACAATGATATAATCTCTGCGCGGAAAGGACCAAGTCATGCTTTTTGTCGCGAGAGAGAGATCCCGGCCGGGCTTGGATCACATGAGCTCAAATGATAGCCAATCGCGGCCGCGCCTGGCGCTGGTTGAGGCTCCAAAATTCCCAACCATGAGAGGGGAAATTCGATCCGTCTATCGATTGAATATAAGATCGTCGCGAGTCCCTCCAAAGCCATCGCGTGGTTTTGGCTCGATCGATCGTGAAAGATCAACTCGCAACCAACCAATCCCGGCTCTCACATGAAACACCACCGCTTGCAAAATCCATGCCCGGGAATACCCAAGTGTTCGTCCGGGAGTGGCCGCCATTCCCTCACGAGCGCCATACAAGCCCAAGACTTGTATAAAATCTTTTGGCCCTCTCTCCGGCCCGGCTCGCCCCATTTGCATTCGCAGGGATCGTCGCTTCTCATTCCCAGATTTGATTCTCCTCTCTCCCCGCGCGAGAATCATATAACTGCCATCTCGCCCAAATGCCTATCAACCCCGAGGATCATCACCATCATCATCGCGCTTCTCCCCGCCTCCCGACTCTCCGCCAAGTGCTGGGCTGGATCGACAAGAAGCCCAAGGAGCAGGAGTCCGAGCTCGCCACCACCGATAGATTGTTCCATCTTTTCGAGGAGGAGGAGCGAGGGAAAGAGATGGCGTCGTCGGCAGCGGCTTTCACCACCATTCTTCCAGCGGCGAAGTGTCCGTACTCGGCTGTGGCCAAGAACCCCGCGGTGCCGTACGTGTTCCAGATGCCACTCCACTACCCGAGGTACACCAAGGCCGAGTACGAGGCCATGCCCGAGTGGCAGCTCGACCGCTTGTTCGAGGAGTATGGTCTCTCGGCGCTCATCACCGGAGCTCTCCGTGACAAGCGGGACTACGCGATTGGCGCGTTTCTCTGGAAGTGAGATCGAGTTCTTCCAAGGTTTTAGGAGAGAGATCTTTTAGAGCTGCGAGAAGTCCCAAGACTGTGGTAATGAGCTATGGTTTGTGTGTGTAGCTCTTGTATAGAGTGTATGTCAATCTAGAAATGGAACACCCGTGTCCATTATAACAAATCCTCGTTGGTTTCGTTTTTCGAGAGGTCAAATCACATACGGTGAAGCCTTGGTAAGATCCAACTCAAGAACTCGATTTGCAGCTTGCTTGTTCGCTTCCAGGCCGTGATCAGTCGCCACGGCGGCTATAAAGCTTGGGAGAAGCGAGACGAAAGGCGTGGTCCGGCTTGAATCCTTAAGTTTGCAAGGCGTGGAGCTTCACCCGGCGTCCAGGGACGAAGCACACGCGAATGTCACACTCTTCTTTTCCGGCATTCTCTCCAGCAATATCCATGCCGGTTGGAGATCGCCTCTCGAAACAGGAGAGCGTTCCACGACACTCTATCTCGCGACGGCATTCGATCAAACACGGCGTTTGCTTGGAGCGAGGAAAACCACAGCGGCCGTAAGAGTGAAGCAACAAAGGTGTCCTGCTTATGGCGGCATTCCCTCTTTCTGGCCGTAACCATCTTAGCATCGTGTTCCATAGGCACTGCATTTCTGTCCAATATTTCTCTTGCTTCGTCGAGCAATCCATCTTGGGCATCAGAAGACATCACTGAAACCCATGAACAATCGCTCCACTCGGGCATGCGACGATCAAACAACTATTTCACATCTTCCACGCTGCCGCTCGAGCCGTAAGCCACAAGCCGCAAGAAGAAAGTCCCGACGTGGAAGTGCGTGGAAGAAGCTTATCGCCTGCTCGAACCTCCCATTGCCAGCAAACGCCACAAGCATCGCATTTGCCAGCGTTAGAACCACACCAGGCACGGAATCAAAGAGCTCCTTTGCCTCGCGTAGAAGACCCATACTTCTTGAGCATAGCATAGACGTGTAAACACCTTTTGCTTGATTGGAGCTCGGCATAGCCTGCCAAGAGTGTGTTCCATGAAACCGCGTCACGCCATGGCATTGCATGGAACACACGGCATGTTTCCAAGCAGCGCAACGAAGCTAGAAAAGAGTTCCAAGAGATTATGTCTGATGTTACCTCGCAGCTATGGAATTTCCGGCTTGGGCATCGTCCATGAAACGGTATCTTGTTCGAATCAAAGCAATGTTTTGCGCTATGAATTTGACCGGCCGCGGGATACCCTGCAAACATGGTATTCCACGTTACCAAATTTGCCACGGTATTTCACTCGCCAAGAAAATGCTCTACATGCGTTCCACGAAATCTCCGGCATGGCGTCGAAGAAACTTTTCGCATCCTCAAGCCGACCATGGTTTGCATACGTGGTGATGGCGTCATGCGTCGCTCACGCTTCCGGCCCTTAATTCATCAAAGAACACCATCTACAGCAAGGTCGAGACGGATCCTTTTATTCATCTCTCAGGAATTTACACTGGCCGAAAATCGACCTAAACCTTTGAAACCTTCTTTCACTCAAACAAACAAAAAGAATCCACTCGCAAGGAAAGAACACATCAGGGATACTTTCCCTCTAGTTGCTGCTCTGATCGCGCCAGAGAAAGGCGCCCACGGCGTACTCGCGCTTCTCCTCGAGAGTGCCCATGGCCGACGCGGGCAGCCCATACTCCTCGAGCAGCCGATCGATCTGCCACTCGGGCATGGTGGCGTACTGCTGCTTGCTAAAGCGCGGGTAGTGGAGCGGCATCTGGAACTCGTAGGGCACGCCCGGATTCTTCACCACGGACGAGTAGGGGCAGCGGCCAAGATGCTGCCCATCGCTGATGGTGGCGAAATCCTCCACGGACCACTGCCGCCGCATCATCGCGGGCTTCTCGCCGAGATCGATCTCCTCCGCGTAGCCATCGCGATCGACCTGGGCCTTCTTGTCGGGGTCGTAGACGAGATCTACGATCTGGCGCACCACAGGGAGATTGGAGAGGCTGAAGTTCCGGACGGGCGGAGCACCATCGCGGATTGGAGACGAATCAAACGCTGAAGACGCTGGCATTGCTTTGCTTTACTTTTCTTTTTCCCTATGATCAACGGAGGAGAGAAGGGCAGTACTTATAGAACCCTGGACTCGCTGACGTGGCCGCGCCTGGGCCGTAGGAAATTTAGGGCACCGCGTTCTTCCCACTGCGGTTTCCCAAAAAAGGGAACCGCTTTTGCTTCCAAACTCGGTGACCTGGCCGCCGGAAGTTTAGGGCACCGCGTAAATGCCGCGAGGAATGCGCATATGCTCTAGGAGGAGATTCCGACAACTAACGTAATATTCTTAGTGTTCATGCAATATTGTTTAGGAGTTTAGAGAGGAAATGAAAGACTCTCTGGTTTGATGACCACATAAAGTCCAGCTTTTTGTGTGCAAGAGTTTTATGAAGACCAGTACTATGCCAATTTCAGGGGTGAGGTGATTGAAATCAAGTATTTGAGTAAAAATATCAACCTCCTCAAGCTTGTTGACAAAAGCTTCACTAAAAATCTTTGAGCAAGGAGATCTATCACTCTATGCTTATAGTAAGAAATTCTGGGAGTTATGCCTTGATTTACTACAGTCTTGATTTTCAAGATCTGTTGTTCCTAAAAATTATTCAGAAGAATGTCAAGAAGCAAATGATGCAATTTCTAAGCTAAAATATTTTTGTTAAGTGAATTGTCACCTATAATAATTTGTGCTTGGTTTACTTGAATATTCTTAAGATTTTCCCTGACTCAAAAGCTCCTAGATGGTCCAAGTTATGCTCCTCGTGGACAATGCTCTGTGAGGCCTATGTTTCCAAGTTATGAGATGCTTTCAAGGTACGTAGCAATAAGGATGCATGAGACAGCCAGTATAAGGAAGAGACCATGGAACTGGTCTGAATCAAGGCTGCTCAAGAGAAGGAATGTGAGTTCATGTTGTCACGGAGGGTCTTCCCAGATATCACCAAAGGCTCTTCACTCGGTTTTTCTTTTAAGTTCAAAGTTCACGCTGGGGACATGCCACAACTGGAAATGCAGTGACTTTTTTTCTATTCTTCCTTGCAAGCATACAAAAGGTAGAACAAGTAGAAGAGTTAATCCATTTATTTGGCAATTGAAGAAATCAAGTTCGTCAACATCAACTTTAGTTATTCTAGTGCTCTCTTTCAAAGTAATCTTCACGCTGTAGGTTTAAGTGGATCTAGCATAAGCTCAGTCATTGAAATGCTGACCTTGTCACTGGAAATTGACACATCTAGCCACAATATCAGGAAGTACAAACTTATGATGGCTAAGGAAGCACATAAACCTGGAATGGTTTCTCTTCTCTATAGTAGTGATGAACTTATGATCCCAGTAACTATAATTATCTGTATTGTATGTGTGACTTATAAAATTATAGTATGTTGTTGGAAAACTGTAATAAGACAATTGAATCAAATGAAAACCACACTCAATAAATTGTGATTCAATAAAGCTAGACAATGAACTGGATTCTTTACCTTATTGAAAGTTAGACATGTGTGATTACCTGTTAACCAGGAGACATATGCTGCATAGTCAAAATACTTTGACACAAAGAGCTTAGTTAACTCTTCACACTATCTTAGCTTGTGTAACTTGCTGCCATGGAGAACAAAGAAATAAAAAATGCAAGGGCACATTCTGCTTATTATATATGGAGTCAAGGATTCCAATTCATTCATTGCCACTGGTAAAAAAACAAATGATCAAGTACTTTGGTTTCGAGGAAATATCAAGAAAATCAGCTCTAAAGTGAAGTCAAGATGGGAAGGACTATTCCTCATTCAAGAATTCAAAGCTTTGGGAATGCTAACAATCTTAACACTTGATGGTGAACATTTTTACGCCGTCAACTTCAATAAACTCAAAAAATATCAATCATATGACTCAAATGTCATCAACAACAACCTTGAAAGAAGTGAAGGTTTTAACTTCAAAGTTCAAGAATAAAACATCAAAAAGAGCTATAAGCATGAAAAGAGATAAAGACTATGAAGACTCAACCTCAAGAATTCAACACGCTCAAAGTTTACAAAATTCAAGCTCAAGAATTCAAAATGAAGAAAAACAATGACTTCAAAAATTTTGACAAAAAATGAGACTTGGAGATCAACAAATCTCTCAAGACTCATCAACAAACTTGCCAAAGACCAACACAAAGCAAGATTCTCCAACCAATATAGAAAAAATTGAAGAAAGTTATAATAGAGACTTACTCTAGGGCAAAACTGTACCTCCAAGGATTGAGATCAAGATCTACAGCACCAAGATCAAGCATTAGGGAAGCAATGCAGCACAGCAATGTGCCCTCTCATAAAGGAGTTCATCTTTGAATTGAATACCCATGTGATGTAGCTTGTGGTGAAGATATATTTGTGTTCTTGGGCACACACCATTTTTTCTTGAAAAGCTGGAAGCATCTTCTTGGCAATGTAGATCTTGTACTCTTTCTCCATGATGCAAGAGAATTCGTAGAGGCCGACTTCACATAGCCATTTGTGATGCCCTTGTCCTCTTCCATGTTGGATTGTAGGCAAAGAGAAGATTTATGCTCTTTGGACTCACCACTATTAGGCACAAAGCAAGTTTCATCCATGTCACACACAAAAGGAATGCCACCAAGATGCATCAAGATTATTGAGAATTATAACTCTGGAAGCTCACTTCAAATGAGCAAATGAGCAATGTCATTGACAAGGCCAAGCCAAGGCTCAAGTTCCTCATCTCAACTCTCGAGATGCACAAGTCAAGTAGCTCCACCAGCAAAGCCATCGCAACTCTTTATAACTTATAACACAAAATTGAAGTGGATATCACAAGCTACTTCCATAAAAAGCTCATCAAGGAAATACATTTGGCTACAAAAATGATCCACAATGGCCAGAAATGTGAAATTCTCGCACTCTCCTATGTCACTACATTTGTGCCACCTCTTGATATAGCATTTCCACTCAATGTGAAAGTACCTCCAACAACACCACAAGCAAAAAGAAAGTGAGAATGTGCATCAAAGAGAAGGAAGGATCTACTCTACAAATCTAACAAAGAAGACGGAGAGGAAGAAGAAGAAAAGGATGAGAAGGGGCTTTTGCCATTGATAGCGACTCCACCAGCAAAAAGGACCAAGATAACAATAATCTCACCTCCAAAGAACAAGATGAAATCAACCACAAGCCAAATTAAAAGAATCCTCTCTAAAGAAGAACTGGAATACACTCAAAAATAGAGTCAAGAACAAAGCAAGAAATCAATCTTGACTCTATAACTACCCCAACCAATGGTGTAGCAATTCACACTAAGAAAGAAGGGCCAGCAACCTCACTCATAGAAATGCTAGTTAATGACAACACCATGCCACAGCATCACAAGCACCACAGTAGGGAGCATCCAAACCAGGAATGACATAGAGAGCCAGAGCAAGAGCGATGACATGAACCAAAGCTACCACACTAGCTGCTAACTCGGCATTCCTCCAGTTTGTTGATGAAGTCTAATGCCTCCAGTCACAGATGCTAATCCTGGTAGACTTTGCATGGTAGTTCCACAACAAACAGATGAGCATCTTTCTACGTGACAGGGTGCAAGCTATGATTAACACCATTGTCTTCCAACCCTTGGATGCAAAGCTCAACAAGATCTAAAGTGACATCCAACAGCTCAAAAGGAGTATTTGAGGTCTTTCTAGATGCAGAGACATAGCACATCAACGACTAGCTTGCTAAAGAAAACATAGAGTTTCATGAGTAAAATCTGCACTCTCAAGGCAAAGCAACCTACAATAATGGAAGACAACAATGAGAGTGAGCATGACAAGGAGAATGATGGCCACACTTTTGAGTTATGCTGAGATGCAACCTCCAAACTCTAAAGAAGCTTTTAAGAGGAGGGAAAACTAATATGCATGCACACTGTGCAAAGGGATTCAAATCATGCTTGATCAAAATTAATATTTTCATTATGTGATTATTATGCTGTTGTATTGTATGATTTTTATATGAATAAAACTTAACTTAAGTTTTTTGAGTTTAAAAATAAAAAGAAATGAATAAAAATCTGTCTATATTATGGAGTTTTACAAGTGACCTAAGCTAACAGCTCCAAAGATTCAAAGTGCTCAATTACACCAAATCCGACTAGATATGACTAGTGTGGAGTTTGTTGTGGACTGGCGAGGAAGAAAATGAAAGGTGGCCTGAATCTGATTGATTAGAGGGAGTAGATTAAAGGATTTAAGTTTTCTATTTTCTCCTGTGATAATCTGCAATAATTATTAATAAATACAAAATATTTATGGATTATAAGTGTATAAATATTAATTTGATATATAAAATGTAAAATGAAAATCCATCTGTTAAGTGGACTTTAGAAAAATGGCATCAACTGCAAAAACAACCAACCATATTCACCTTTTAAACTTTATTTCTATGCCATCCAATTCCACTTCCTACCCTACTCTGGACTGATAATAAAGCCACAAGATCGATCTCCACTGTGGAGAATGTAGTCCTTTGCTCGCCGAAAATAAACCCTTGACATCTCCACTCATAACCCACTTGCTGCAACCGCAACCAGATGTGACCTAGCGAGAAGACGCCACCCTGGACCAACTAGTTTTCTTAGCTAGAATATTCTATCAGGGAATGATTGTTTCGCAGATTGATGAGATATTCATCCTTAGAATGCAGTCGCAGATTTGCTTTCCGCTACTGGCTTGAACTTGAGCTGCACTTAGGCAGATCAAGTCAAACGCTGGTAATGCCTGCTCCCCTGCATTTTGTGGATACGCCTGACAACCTTTGTGGACGATAAGAGTAAACCACATGGGAATCTGCATCAATCCGATTACACTGCAGCAGATGCAGTCGCAATCCCATCGCCCGCTCGACGAATCCATTAATCACAAGCTGTGAATCATTGGCAGGAAAGCTCCGTCCATGGAACCGGACAACAACAAGATGTGTAACCTGGGCATTTTCTTGATGAAGCAAGGTCGCGTCGACGAGGCCAAACTGCACTCAAGAGCATAACGCCCGCATCCTCAGATAGCCGCTGGGGCGCCGACTCGCACCTTAAGTCATACACAGGAGCAAGGACAGCAACAGCAGTCGGACCATTTACGGAGTACTGGACTTTCCGTCTTGTTCGCCACGCTTGCTCAATCCAGGCCCAAGCGACAGATTGAAATCATCGCCTCCCGCAGCAGGCGCGAAGCCAGCAATTGCGGTACGATTCCTGGGACTACGACGACACGATGAGGACGAGTAAAATCTTGACGACATCCACCATTTTTTTGCGGCGGAGCTA